TTCTCTCGCTCCGTTTTTCTGCTCGGATAGAAAATGGTTGTAAAGCACACTAATTGAAACAAACAAAAATTGAATATAGTATTCAATCAAGGCGGCTAAAAATTTGTACACAAAAGTGCGCGAAAAAAAATCGAATTGAATTTTTAAACAAATAAAATGAGTAAATGCTTTCGATGCGTGCTGATGCATTCATTTTATTTTAATCGGTTGCCTGTGTGCGCAACAGCACACACTTATGACCGATGAGCATTTGTTGTAAAAATAACGAGACAAAATACATTCAATAGAAATGTTTTCTATCTCGCTGTATTCGCCGATTTGATTATTCTTATTATACAGACAGAAAATTTCATCTTTTTTAAAAAAAAATCCCTCTTTCTCTCTCTCTCTTTGTCTTTGTCGATCAGTTATTTGCCTTTCGTATCATTTCTTCTCTTTCTTCTCCTTCGTTTCGTATTCAATTCGATTGCACTTTATTCTGTATATAAATTCAAATATGACTCTTTCATTCCCTCGGTTCTCTTTCTTTTTCTCAATTTTCTTCTTCTAAATTCTCTTCTGTCAACATTTGGTTTTCGTGTTTTTCGTTGTCACTTTCAAGCGCACGTAGTTTGCCTGTCAATTCGTTCAAATTCGCGTTCTTTCTTCTCTCAATGTTTTTGTAGTATTAGTCGCCGTCGCCGTCGTCGTCGACGAAAGAGAAGTGAAAAAAACAACACACATTTTGTGCTTTTCCTTCTATCTCGTTCTTCGTTTTTACTCATTCGCTCTCTCTCTCTCTCTCTCTCTCTCTCTCTCTCTCTCTTTCTTGGCTGTCTTATGCGTTTATTCTCGCCTCTTCTTGCTGTCGTTGCGATACATTGTTGGTCTCTTGTTGGGATTTACACGAAAATGTTTCAATGAGTAATAACCGGACTGTATGTATGTTTTGAAACGTAAAATGAAAACAAATTCATTGTTAGTTCAGCTCTCGTTCCAGTGATAGTGTTTTTTTTTTTGTTTCCATTTCTTCTTCTGTACGTCGCTTTCGATTCTGCTGCGCTCGACACACGACGTGTGTATGTGTTTCGTTTTCAATCGAATATTTTTTTAATTCAGTTTTTATTTCAAGCGATTTTTCGGTTCGTGTTCAAGAATACTATATTCTTTCATATGTTTTTCTTTTCTTTCGGATTTTTTTTCTTCTCTTTCAATTGTTTATTGTGCATATGTGAATGCGTGTTTATTCTTTAAAAGTGTTTGACGAAAATACTATATTCTTATAATTTATTTATGAAAATAGTTTAGAATTTCAAAGAATTGAAAATACGTTGACGAAATTGTTGGAAAACAAATTTCAGATCGACACACACAAAATAAAAAAGTTTTAAGAAGTGAACATTTGGATAGAGTTTAATTTTTAACGTGTTTTTGTTATATATGAGTATACAACATCAAAAGTTATTATTGATTACCATCTAAACTGGATGTTCGTTCAATCGTATATTATATTATATCATTTAAATCTACACCGATTATTTATGTCACTGCTCAAATGCTAATCCGTGTTGTGTTGAATTTCAGTCTTTGGGTTTCTGCTTCGCACCCAATAGAGATTAATCGAACAATTTTGTAAGCTCATAGCAGATATAGTCCTGTCGATTCGAATGTAGTGTTGTCATGTAAGAGAGAAAAAGAAATTTTGTTTTTTCCATTGAATAAATTGACCATACATTTGTGTTCACAATTCATATTGACTTGATATGAATACACACCGCTTTTTTCCATTCATTCTACAAAATTGAAGAGAACATTTAACTCCTTGGTAACAGTCGACGAATGAAAAGAGAGAAAAAACCTCTCCGAGTATCGGCCATTTAGATAACGAAGCGAAAAAATAAAAACGAAGAGAGGGAGAGCCAAAGAGAAGTGGACTTAAAATGACATGCTTCTGTTATTCTATTATGCAGGCCAAATTGAATTCATTTCCTTCTGCCGTTTCGAATATATATATAAATTATTAAAATAAATTTCATAGGCCCAGGAGATTTCATTAGGCTTAATAATGCTTGATTTTGGCATTTCTACTGCCTAACCAAAGGTAGCATAGACTTTGTACAGTGACGACCGAATGAATACAATAAAAAAAGCAACAACATTTGAGTTTATTTTCCATACGAATATTCTGTATTCGAATTGGACACCGCAACGCAAACAGTCAATCATAAGCAAAAAAGAAATGAAAAACCGTTCAAATAAGCAATATAATTTGTGATACACCAGCAATTGATTACGTAGGCCATTTATTTATTTTTTTATTCTTTTCCATTTTTGTTGAGTATCGAACAAGAAAGCGAACAAAGAACGTACAACAACAACGATGTTTTATCAAATCGCAATATAGTATACATAATTGTTATATGCTTAATGGCCACGAAATGGAAAACCATTCGTTTTATTCCATTTCTTGGTGCTTTTTTTCTGCATTGAAGAATACATTGAATTTTATTTGAAGCAACAGTTTGTGGCAACGCGATTCATCCAGTCCCAGATGAGCGTGTGTGTATAAATAAAATAATATGTATTTGCTAATCGAATAAAGTAAAGATAAACCAAAAGAGAAGTCTTAGAGAGCATCAAAGAATAAAAGGTGCATGAAATGAAGAAAGAAAAACAGGTTTTCTTGGCGATCATTACCATGTGTAATGTGTGTGTACGTTCAACTTTTGTACAAAATAAAATAACAACGAAAAAAAGCAGCAGCAACAACAACACCAACCACTTTGCTCGTTTTTAGAATCGTTCGAGTTTCTCTTTCGCTTTCGATGCTCATTTTTACCCGATGGAAGAAGAGAAATAATAAAAATAAAATCGAATTGAATACGATGGAAAATATTATCTACATTGAAAGCGAAATACATATGGTGGTGGTGATGGTATTGCTTGTCACAATTGAAATCGGTATATCGGCAATGAATTTCTCGCATATATATTTTGAAGATCTTGTGAATTTGACAACGTATGTTCCTATACCAAACTGTGTGTACTCATTCACTTCATCGCTTCAATTCATTTTTACTCTGTTTTTTTATTTTTTTTTTTTCATTCTTTATCGGTGGATTTGTTTATTTCAACTTAAATCAGTCGTGTGTCACATTTTATCAATATAAATATATAGATTGAAGTTGTAAACCATCCATCTGAGAGCCTCCATGTACACACATACACTCCATCAGTATATGTTCGTTATTCAATTTTTTCCATCATTTTTTCTTCTTTGAATTCTTCTATAGAGGCGAATACGACTCGTTATTATTATTTTTATGCTCAAATCTTTTCTTCTCGCTAAAGTTGTCATTACTTATTTTCTTCTTTTTTCTTGCATTTATATACATGTAATGTGTATTCCTTCAGCAGTAGGCAACATTGAGCTGATTTTACACCAGGAAAATCGTACATAGCACAACGTTCCTTTTATATATAAATATATCGTACTTGAGTTGTACCATGAGCGTTTTAATTGTTGTTGTTTTTTTTTGTGTATGTTTTATATATGAGAGTCGAGTGTAAGCAAACGTCGATGAAGAGAGAACATGACAGCGCAAAGCAAAACAAAAAAGAACACATCGTACCTACTAGGATGAGAACCAAAGTGAATGTATGAAATTTTGATCGGGTACATAGATGAGAAAAGGGAGGCCAGCATATAAGACGAGAAGATAGCACCGCATTCACGTCATATCATAATTATTCGTTCGCGAAAGGAATTTTTAGATAATAATAATTATCCATCGAATGAATGCGCACATAATATAATACATAATAATCAGTCAGGATTGGTGTACGGTGTACGCATATAAGCATATATAATATTTGGCCTGTTACTCCATGTACCACACAAACACCACACATATGATATATTTATTTCCACTCGTTTATTTCCACTCTCGTACTCTTTTCTCCTTCTTACCCGATTGTACACACGGAATGGTGGTACTTTTCGAATGAACGAAAAATCGATTGCATCTTTTGTCTTCCCAAGAGCAAGAGTGAGGCATAAATGAAGAATGGCATGAAAAAACAACAACAACAACACCAAAATTATCGAAATAAGAAGAAAAAAAACGTTCTTTTGAAAATGAACAAAAATAAATGTTGTAATTGCTTTTCAAGAGGGTTTTTGCTATGACTTGAACGACGACGACGACGACGATGAGATGGGAAGAGACCACGCATTCTGTTTCTTTAAATTCTCTGACTGGCCTTAGATAGGTGTTTATAAACAGTTTGCAGGTTTTATTATCCGTTCAGTTGCCATTCACTCTCTTTCTGTTGCGCATACAGATGAGCACGAGAGACCAGTATATGATTTAATCAAAACCTGTTTATAAATTAGTTTGAGTGCGAGCGGACATGCATTCATAATATGATCAAGAACATTTCGGACAGTACTGATATTTCTTTTTTTTTAACATTGTACACGCATATTTATATAGTCTACACTCACACACAAGCACACACACAATAAGTACGTCAACATTGTATGCACAAATACAGCAAACTGTATTCAGTACCATATAGAATACGTACGTATGTGCGTGTGTTGAAGGAAAAAAGAGTCGTAATGCTCTATAATCTATGTAAACTGAACACCGAATGCGCTTGCATTTCAATCAATCGTTATCAAATGTTTACTCGCATTTACTTCCATTCGCTGCTGCAAATTTATTGTCCAGCCAGCGAATCATTCGCTTTGATTACTTTGTATCAATTACAAGCGATTCGTTGTTATTTGTCTTTTTGCGTTGGTTTTATTATGAAGTTGTTTGTAAGTAAGGGGAATTCGGATTTATATACAATGTGAAATGAAATTCAGCTACTTTTTCTCTTGCAATTTGTTTTTTTTTTTTGTCTTTATTTTGTGTGTGTACTTTAGATCTGATAGTTTATTGCGATAAGAAATGTTATTTGATTTTTACTGTTTTAATGAGTGATTTGTTTTTTTTTCTCTCCTTCTTTAGATGCACGATGAAGTCAAGTCGCATAACACAGCCAGTCAAATACAAATAAACTCAATGAACCCAGAAAAATTATTATCACAACATTTACAATCATCATCACAAATTATATCATCCAATGCAAGTGCAACAATAGCCACATCGTACAATAGCGATGGCACAGCGTTTGGCGATAATAGAAATACAACAACTACGATCTCGAATATTACTGTAACACTGAGTCCAAATCAATCGATCTCAAGTGCAATGAATGCAACATCAATGCAAAGCGGTGCGGTGACAACGACATCAACGGTATCAGCGATGACGGTGATGGCCGGTTGTAGTAATAATGGCGGCGGCGGCAATGTCAGTGAAAATAAATGTGCGAATACAACTTCAAATGCATGTCAACCGCGTCAACATCCAAAAAAGCGAAAATTTAATATCGCCGATTTGGAAGAATTAGATCAAACAGTGCATTCGAACAGTCACAATAGTAATAATAATAATAACAACACGATTAATACGAATAAGAACAATGGCAATCAAAATGGGATGGATGGAAATTTCGGTAATGGCGGCGGCGGAGGTAATGGAGGCGTCAGTGTCAGTATATCCGTGCCAATCACAAATTCAGCGCCTATACATAGTGATATTACGGATAAAACAAATAACAATGTGAACTTGTCAATTTCGAATGATAACGGTTTGAGAACAAGCAACGCGATCATTGTAAATGTCGGCACAATGCCACAAACAATAACACACCCAAATGAGCATGCGATGGTTGTTTCATCGAATTCTCATTTAAATTCAGTCGTTTCGACAGCAATTGTACACGAAATGAAAGGATCTCATAGTCAATTTAGTCAAAATAGTCGCAAGACCGACAATGGCCCAACGAAAACTGATAACGGTTCATTAATGATAACAGTGCATAATGAGTATCCAGTCATTGCATCACATGACCATACAACGTCTATAAATTCATCAAATGTCACACCGAATATACATCACCGTTCGCCTCGTTCGAATGAAACACTCAAGTATGGTGTGCAATCATCGTCGATAATACGAATTGCTGGGCCAGCAACATTGGCCGGTGCTGGAATAGCGACTGTACAACAATCATTGCCACCACCCCCGCATGCATCTGCAATAACAACAACTGCCAACGAACAATCTCAACTCGATTTGAGTGAATGGTGCAATCACCGTGTGCTCGCCCGTCAAGAAGATATTTATGTTGCGGGCATTATACGGTCGGTCGATCCATCGAACACAATTCTGGTGGAATTCGATTATCCGGAAGGTACACAACAATCGTACTATGATGTTTTGGGCAGTGGACGCTTTGATATAATCAGCGACGCAAGCCCATCGGTTGGTGATATTGAGCTTGGCACAAGAGTCGTATGCCTTCAAACCAATCGTCAGGGACACACAACATTTATTGAAGGCGAAATTAGACAAATATTAAATGATACAAAACAATTTATTGTGCGTTCGATTGCGAGTGATGAAGCAAAAACGGTGAAACGTGCACAAATCCGTCTTTTGCGACCACCATGGTGGGATGAACTCAATGATAATGATACAAATAACTTGGGTGATACAGCATCAACTGCTCGAGCTATATCCGGTCAAATTAAATCACTGCATGCCATGGAACCATCAAATATGTATCAGAATACATTGGCCGGTGCTGTTGCTGCGGCCGCCTCTAGCAATACACTCAATCCAAATGGCGCAATAAATGCAACGAAATATGTGCCAGTTCATCATATTCTTCCAACTATACAGGTATGCTGAGAATTAATTGCTTTTCACCACGTTGGTGACGGTGACTCAAACTAATTACATTTTTTGTTTGTTTAATATTTCTTCTCTTTCACCGCTCTATTTACTCGTCTTTAGACAAATGAAGAACATTATAGAACCGCATCAACGTCACCGTTTACACTATCTAACTCGATTTCGGTCGATGCCGTACAAAATGTCTCCAACTTACATCAAATAAATGAAAGTCAAATTCCACAGATAATCGTTTCACAGCAAACGACCAATACACCGATTTTAACGACAGCACCGATTGCTGCAACCTTAGATCGAGGTATAACAGTGACTGAAGCTGAAATGCGAAGGTCACACCAACGTTATTGCGATGACGAAAGTGATGATGAGCTAAAACGCGAAGATATTAGCTTTCCAATGGACGGAGGTAATTTATAGGATTTTTTTTACACTTTTCACAACAATCTACCAATCCTATGTGGATATTTAAACGATAATCCATTTGTGCTTTTATAGAAAAAGTACTATCCGGTAGTAGTAAACGTAGCAGCGTACAAAGCAGAGGGAGTACATCAAGTCTTGTTGACAATCGACTGACACCACGATCTCATGCAGCAACCCCACGTTCACAAGCAGCAACACCACACAAATTCAATAAAGGCGATGTGGTACAGTCGGAAACGGGCGTTCGTAAGAAATTTAATGGCAAACAATGGCGTCGCTTGTAAGTTTTTAAGTCGTGCTTTTGGGCGAAATTTAACAAAAAATCAACGAATTTTCATCTGTTTTTTTTTCCTTTCTTTAGGTGTTCAAATCCTCAATGCACAAAAGAATCACAACGTCGAGGCTATTGTTCACGCCATTTGAATCAGCGTGGCAATACCTTGAGATCATCGACAGGACCATCGTTTCCAAGGTAATCATTCGTATTAATAGACATTGTGGACATTTTTCTGAAATAAAATCGTTTTACAGTCGCTCAAGTAGCAATACACAAGCTGATGAAGATACATCTAGAGAATCGGAAACATCTCCAAACTATCGAGTCACTGGTCGTTTCGATCAAGAAGAAACAGATGTGGCAAATATGCTGGGTATGATTTTCCTTTTTAAGAATTCGATTGGCGGTATTTCAAATGTAACTAACCGATTTGATTTTTTATTCTTCGAATAGTCTCATTGAGCAGTTCACGTTCGGCAACGCCATCATTTTCATCGCCCACAAATCATGTATCATCGCCATTGAATGCAAATCAATCGCCGGTAACGGTTGGAAATCGACAAAATCTATTTATGCCAATTGGCAGCCCAGCTGCTCAGCAACCGCAGGTATAATTATATTCCATTCGCTTCACTTGAATCGCTCGTGTTATTCAATTAATTTACGAAAATGTGTTTAAATGGAATTTTATATTTTCCAGCAACAGTACAGTACGACGCCGAGTCCGATTTCGTATAGTTTAAATTCGTCGCAGGTAATTCGACCAGAGTCACTTCGTCCACAAATTGTGACTCAATCACATCACTCTCAGCACTATCAGGTAAAAAAATTGTGTTAAAATAATTACATAAAAATTCACAAAATCCTCTTCGACAAAGACTGAATTTAAAAAAAATATCATATATATTAAAATTTGATATTTCAGCAGCAGCAGCAGGTGGCTCAAATTGCGGCACCACCGCAAATCAACGCAACAACAAGAAACATAATAAGCACTGGACAAATTAAAGCACCACAAGCACATGTGACAGCCAATTTGAATTCAACGCCAAATGCCCATACAACAAGTGTGATTCGAATTTCACCAGCATCGTCGGCATCTTCCATAACAAATAATACGGTGCACACAGCGTATCAGCCCTTTCATCCGGAGCACGTGCCAATTGTGACAAATTCGGGCGCCGTTATTTTAACAACAGCAACAATTCCGTACAATAATGGAAATGGAGCAACCGAACATGCAACCATTCCAAAAAACGGAATTAATTCGGGGTCAGTTCATCATTGGACAACATTATTGCCCATAATTGACGCCCCGAATAAAAATCAAAAAGCTACAACCATCACAACGTCACATGTGAAACCCGAATCAGCAAACGTGCCAGTATCGCATGAAGATGGTGATGGTAAGCATATACTGTCACATGAATTAATGGCATTCAGTTGAAAATGAATCATTTTAAATGTTTTTGTTTGATTTTTTTTCTTCTTTGCCTTTCTCTTTTGCCAATTTTTTCCAGATGATCAAGGCGATGATGATGTGTTCGAGCAACCGACACCAAACGATACAAATCATTTGTCATCGCGTCAAGCATCGGCAAATTTTCATTATCCCCATCAAAGCCAACATTATCAGCCACCATCAAACATCGACGTCGATAGACGAAATAACTTGAATACGGATGAACGAATGGATACATCTGAAACAAATTTCTCGCCACAAGTCATGACATCAATGAATAATGTCAACAATATGCCGGCCAATTCAATGATAACACATTCAAACGGAAATAATAGCGATGGCAGCTCTGATGCAACAAACAATTCGGGATCGAATCAAATAATTGTGGGCAATGTTATGATACCAAACAGTCCGGTTATATTGAAAAGTAGCAATGAAACAATGGCTGCTGCAAAACGTCGTACACAATCATGCGGTGCATTGCATCAAGGTGTCAATGGGCCACCATCAGCAAAAGAACCACAAAGTCCGGCAACAAAACAAAAAGAGCCAAAAATTCGTCGTCCAATGAATGCGTTTATGATTTTTTCGAAAAGACATCGTGCGATGGTTCATCAAAAGCATCCGAATCAAGACAATCGTACCGTGAGCAAAATACTTGGCGAATGGTGGTATGCATTGAAGCCAGAAGAAAAGAATCGATACCATGAGCTGGCAAGCGAAGTGAAAGAGGCACATTTTCGCACATATCCAGAATGGAAATGGTGCTCAAAAGATCGACGAAAATCATCGAGCTCGGGCAAAGATGGTCGCGGCCGAACGGATTCAATTGATGGAATGGATGAAATTAGCCCAACTACACCGTTGGATCCATATCATGGTGTCGATTTGCTACCGGTGAGCTCACTCGCATTACCATCAAATCATGATGACAACGACGCAGCCATGGACACATCTGAACCACACACTTTTGGTAAGATAAATCGAGAATCTATTCCATTGATTTTTAAACGCCCGTCATTAATCTTAAACGTTTCTATTGATTAGCAATTCCAGTTTCAACATCTGGTCCAATTGTCAATACTGTTCATATAAAATCAATAACTGAAGCGAGCAATGAGCCACAAGATGAATCCATGTCGGATGATGAACAGGTGAGTTTTGGCATTTTCATTTTAACTTGATGAACGTTTTTTTAACATTTAATTTTCATTAAATGAATCAAATACAGATGGTAATTGCTGAAGAAGAAGCACCAAGTGCCAAGGAGTCTCATGACATCGATTTAAAATGTGCCGAAAAAGTAACCGATTCCGACAATGAAGAGAATACGGATGCAAGCGAGAGTAAAGTAAAGAAGGAACCATCAAGTGAAACACAGCAACAAGATGGAAATGGTGCTCGTGATTTCACATGTAAACCGAAAGCGATAAAAGCACAACGACAAAACATCGATAGTCCACTGAACTATCAACAGGTTCCAATGTATTTGAATGCATACTCGCCGAAAAATCCGTCTGGAATTCTACCATTTCAACCTACCGGTAAATTATTACCCTTTTTCAAATATATAAATATGCTTTGCGCTCCCACCTGAATTATAAATCACATTCCATTCACGTTTTTTTTCTTCTTTTTTTTGTTGCTTTGTAAAATGCAGGCGGTGCTTTTAAAACGATGCCAATAAGCCCAAAAGATACAAAACCAATAGTAACGGCTGGCGGAGTTGTTGTATCGGAAATTGAAAATCAAGGTGAAGTAAAACCGTCACCGCCCACGGTATTCACTTTTTCAAATGCGTCATTAGCGAGCGGTAAGTCAAGCATTCATACTGTGAATGCCGTTCATCAATTGCAGAACGTAGACTAATTTATATTTCATCGATTTTTGTTTGTCAATGGTGTATAGGCGGTGATATAAAACAAGAGGTCGTCGATAGTAAAAGTGACGTGAAACCTAATATCCAATTGAGTAAAGGTTTGTAAATAATTCCAATTGTTTAACACTGTTCATTAACAAAAGTTGTATTGCACTTCATTTCATTTTAATTGAAGTATCCTAAGTTGTTGCCCTTGTTTTTGTTTATATCGTTGCACACATTTCTTATCACTTTCATTTTCCTTAAGTTTTATAAATCGTTCTTCAATTTTATGTTCGTTGTGTTTGTGTTATTTTGGTATTGAAAAACAAAAGTATTCAAGTATTCTGTTATTTGTTTCAAGTACTGTTTTCTCTTAAGTTCATTGTCAATTAAATGACTGCATCTTGACTTTTAACTCTCGCTCTCTATCTCATACATAAAATCGTAACGCTCTTTCTCTCTGTTTTTCTTTTTTTTTTTCGTAACGCAATTTTCCACAAAATAAAAAAAAAACAACGAAAACTAACTGTTGAATGTATGTGTGTTGTTCGTCATCATAATCATCATCATTAATATCTGTGATATGTGTGCCTGTTTGTGTCTATGTCATTTTGTCATGCAAAAAATGAAATGAAAAAAATAAAAACCGAACCGAACAATAAAACCGAAATCACAATAGTTCCGACAACACCAACCACATTATCATCTACTTCATCATCATCATCATCTTCCACCAAATGTGTATCACCAAATGTAGTGGCCTGCAGCAATAGCAATAGTTATGTGGTATTTGAAGCGATTTACTATGATAGTAACGGTTCAAATTGCATACAAACACAATCGAATCAATTGATTATGGCCAAAGTGAAAAATAACCATGTGACCAACGATACAAATGACATAAAAAATGATACAACAAATGTTGCACAACCGATTTTAGTAACATCTGTCTCATCGCCACTGAATTCAGTGTTACAGTGTAATAATGCACCAACGTCAATGTCCTCGTCAATATCATCAATATCACATAACGGTACAATCATTAAAAAACCCGGAATCATTTTACTAACACAAGCGTCGCTCAGTAAATTGCTCAGTGTAAACGATTTAAATGTGATTAACAATAATAACAACAATTCGAATACAAACACAACAGCCAATCATGCTCATAACCATCAACATGACAATAACATTCGAAATAAGTGCAACTTTACCATAACTAACACCACCACCACATCTACTACTAATCCAAATTCAACTACACAAACTAATAATCAATTAAAATCCGTTTTGATGATCAATTCCTCCTCCACATCTACGATAGAAACAACAGCCGGTATTGTAACATTAACATCGACAACTGGATCAACTGCCAATCGAGATATAAACGATGATAATGGAAAAAATAACAATCAACAGGTAAACACTTGAAATCACCACATTCAAAATACGTATCGTTACTCATCGAATAACATTCGTATTTTATGTATAGGTTTTATCCAACCGAAATTTGCCAGCAACTCCGAAATCAATGACGGAACCACAACAAGGTGCAGAGACCTACTCGTCGACAATTGTCCGGCAAGAAAATGAAAATGCCATGGATGAAGAACCAACTGGAGACGATGAAAAAACTGAATACGAATACAGCGAAGATTATGATGATTCGACGTCGGCAGACAATCAGCAAAGATTTATACTGGCACCAACGCCAGCGCAATTGGGACGAGCTCCATTACAAAGACGTTTGGGCAGTTTGGTTGGCGGAGATGCAAATTGTATGTATACAAAAAAAGGTCATCAATTCATTCAAACGTACTTCATTCATTCATTTGTATATTTTACGAATCGCTATATACTAGGTCAATCACAAATTGTTAGCAATGAAGCCACACTACCAAATACACAGCAAATTATTCCAACGGCAACGTCTGTACCATCCGCATTGCCAACGCCAAATTCAGCTGCTATGGACGATTCGCAACAATTATCACCAGGGATGCAAAAGAAAACATTGTTTAAGAAAGTAAAAGGCGAAGATTTAAATAAGTAAGTCACAACAAAAAAGGTCGACGACCCTGAATTTTTTAAAACATTGATTTTACTCACTTTTTCGTTTTCAGTGTTTTACGGCAAGTGGATTTTGAGAAAAAGTTCCAAACGTTGCCACGTTTCAAGCCAGAAGATTGTCAATCGCCAAGTGCTATATCAGTGCCATCTTCACCGCGTGTTTTTTCGCAAAACTATCGCAAAAAAACTCAACCACAACACCAGCCACCACATTCAGCCAAATCATGTAAGCATTTCTTCATCATTTGTTATTCCATTGAATATTCTATTCGGATGATTTTTTCAACGCAAATTTTGTTCGAACATTTTTTTTAGTTTATGAAGAAGAACAACAACAACCAAACAGTGCAATATCCACAGCCACACCGCCTGCTGTGGTTGGTAATCGATTTTTTGGTCCCGATTTTAATATTGAACAAGTCAAAGGTATGCAGCAAAAAAAAAAAAGACAATTTTATTTTATTTTAAAGCATTACAATAACAACACATTGCCATTTGTATGATTTAGATTTGAATACCAATGAGGATCGTTCGCCGCGCACACCGATTGGCAGTGCAAACAATCCAGCGCCACGATCATCACAAGATTCGGCTGCTGAAAAAGGTCATCGCAAAACATTGGAACAACGTCGACAACTTGTTATGGAACTTTTCAATACATCTGGAATGTTTCCTAGCTCAAAAGACACAACCGAATTCCAGGTATATTTTTGCTTACTTACTTTGTTGTTCTTATTTTTTGGAGGTTCGGCAAAACTGAAACTAATCGCATTCCGATGGAATTTCCAATTGAATAGATAAAACACAGTGATATATTTCCGAATAAGCAAAGTTTGCAGCTGAAAATTCGTGAGGTTCGCCAGAAGTCAATGAGTCAGTCAGGTTTTACGCCTGGCCCAACAACGCCAAGTGAATCAAGCATAGTCACAGCAACATCAACCACATTATCAACCACAAATGCAATAGGTAAATGCTAAAAGCAGCCCAACAACCAAAAATCAAATCAAATGGATAATACGATTGCCGAATTTTTTATACGCTTTGCAGATGATCAACAAATCCAAAAGCAACAAAACCAACAACAATAGATATGAAAACAAAGCCAACACAATTGCAAATACTTCGTTTTTCGCCCATTTAAAACATAAGAGTTAAAAAAAATAAATCCACATTGTGAGTCCTCAACTCTTCAAACTAAAAATTAAAAAAAAAAAAATGCTTCTCAGCTAAATTGTAAATAAAAAGAGAGAAAAAAACACACAGTTGGAGCTAAGAAATGAGATCAAGTTATTCAAAAATGATTGCATCATAAGCGATTCTGATCACACTCATTTTTAAAGGCGTGCTTTCAATCGTGAAGCACATTGGATGAATTTACATTTAAATTAAATTGATAATTATATTTAAAAAAAAAAGAATTTGTTGATATAAGCTAAATGTGATCGCGTGATTAGAATTCTATACATATTTTCAGTGCGTCACAGTCTGAAAAAAATTTACGAAAAAAAAATGCATAACAAATATGTTAACACTTTTTCCCATTTCATTTTTCAATTTCGAAAAGGATGGTGAATCATTTAATTTTATCCCAATAACGAGTTTTTTTATTATTTGAGAGATAATTTTGTTTTTAAAATTTTTTATAATTCTTCTTTAAAAAAAAAGAAATCTTTTATCAATTATAAACAACAAAAAAAGAGAAAAGAAAAGTTTTATTTACATATTGTGAGAGAAAAAAATGCAAATGTTATTTGTAAAAGCAATTTCAGTTAAGCATCGTAGAAGATACATATGTCTATCAAAAGCCACATACACACACAAATAAAATCTGTTACTTTACTAGATATATCATTTAAGGGCATAACAAATGCCGATCAAATTTTATCGATTTAACTCACAAAAGGAAGGAAAACAAAAAACAAACAAAACACACAATTCATTTATGTTTGTAAATTAGAAGAAAATTTTAAATGAGCTAACGAAAAGATTTAAAAAAACACACACATGTAACGGGCAACCGTCGAACATATGACAGTTCGCTGCAGAAACATTGTATTTTATCACTGATATAATTATTATAAATACACATATACACAAAAAAAAAGGAAAATAAAACGAAAAAAAAACTTTGCAAAGAAAAATTGTAAAATTTAAGCCAATTATGTATATCAAACATCTGGCATTAAAGATACAATTTCATTTGAACATATAGGGCGGATGTGTCCAATAGACACTGTCTATACAATAAAAGAAAATAACAACAACAACAACAAAAAACAAACAAATGATTATTATTCTATAAACTAACTGTCTCTTATTAATTAATATAAATAAATAAATATATATACATTCTATTATATGAAACGGTCTCATAGATGAGATATATGGAAAGGTAAATTAAATATGATCACGTCGTTGATGTTCTCATTTCGTTCGTTCGTTTCGTGGTGTGATTAGTAATGTGAAAAATAAAAGAGATAACGTTTAAACACTGGTATGTTAACAAATTTATGTTATATAGATTTTAGTGAGAATTTAAAACAAAAAAAAAAAACAACATTAGAGAAGCGTGGAAAATATACGTCATATTGAAATACACACAATGAAATACGGCTAATATAGAATAGAAGAAATAAAAAATGGACAATTTTGGTACAAATGCATAACAGAAATCTAAATACAACTGAAACCTTAGATAAACCTATATATATATATATTATACATATGAAGAAAATCCAGATAATATACGGGCCCACCGTGGCCAAATCACAGATATTTTTCTGAAAATAAAAAATCACAACAAAAACAAAATTCAACTTAAGTAGTGATGAATGGAGGTGCGATAATGTTCTTCTGTATTTTGTTGTCGCTCTGTGTGAGCTTATAAACTCAATAATGTGCTCAACGAGTTTGGTTACACAGGTTTTCGTATGTAACACACAACACATTCTCAAATGTAGCCGCAACAAATCGATCGATAGAAATTCACATCAATTTTATGAAACAGATTTAAATATGCATAAGTTATGATTATAGTCGACACAACTGTCTTCTTCATCACAAAATTCTTACCAACATGGAAAAAAAAAACAAATAGCATAAAAACAGTTCAATGGCAGCATTTGCGCCAACGTTAAATTTTGATTTTATTACCCAACAAACAAAAACCACACAAATTCGACCGAAAAAAACGCTCGTTTTTTACGCATTTGGATACATCAAAATTGTTTCATGCCGAAAAACTTTTTTTCCGTTCTCAACAAGCGAAATCGTTGATTTTTTTTCGAGCCAAAAACACGCTTCGTGTGTTAGATACCTTTTTTTGACACGACAATTGATATTAAACAGAAAAAACACTAACATTAGATCTCAATGGTGATTGTTTTTTTTTTAAAACAAAATGGAAGTGAAATATGAACAAATTGTTAGTTTTCGGTAAATTGTTAAATACACGTTCCTGTTGATTGGTTTGGACGATCCAAACCTTGTTGAAATATACTAAAATAGGCGTTTCTTCCGTTTCCTATTTACGGTAGCCAAACGGATAACTTCACACACAGACACACATACACATATATGTAGCTTGTATTTTTATTTGAATCGCAACCATTTTTTATATGTGAATTCAATGTGCGGCCACTATGGCCAATCAATCAATGTTCAATTTAACTTATGCTAAACGACAGTTATACAGGAAGAATTGTAGGAAATTAAACAACACATATACACAAATGGTTTCTATATTTTACAAATCTTTCTAGACATTCAAGCAAATGATTACAATATATACCGAATACATGCTTAAATTCATCATCATCATTGGTTGAAAATAGAAAATTAAAAACAACAACAACAGAATATGCTATACTATACAAGCGTAGAATAAAAAATCAATTCAAAATAAAATACAAGTGAAAAACATGCTGAGAAACTATCGCAATTCAAATGAAATTCATATTAACTTAAGTATTTTAAAGGCGGGACAATGTTTTAAATGAAGGGTCATTGTCAACTAGATTTCTTTGTGATTTGATGAAATGCTGCAAATACGAAATGAAAGCAAACACACAATTTATGATTTGTACCACGAACTAACCTCAGACTAAAGCGACAACAATACAAACTTATAACTGAAAACAAAAGTGTAGGTTTTAAAGCATTTGCAATATCTATTTGATTCTAATTTGTACATTTTGTTTAAACTCTTTAATCGTTTTTTTTATTCTCTTGTTTTTTTTTTTTGTTTTCTTTTTTAAGGTGATATTTTCTCTGCTGTTCTTTAAAAAAAAAACAATAATGAAAATGTGTTGTCGGATGTAAACGAATGAAAAGAAATAGATCGCTCTCAGAATATTGTTTAAAACATGCTTCCACAACACAAAATATAATTACATGAACAGTGGAAATAGCCCAATTCACATCGTATCAATGTCTCATTTTTTTGTGTTTCTGAAGATAGAAAAAACACACATACACACACAACCACAAATTAAATTTTAATCCAGACAACCAATAGTCAGAATTTAAGGAATAGTTTTAAAAGGAATTATTATTATCACATAGATGGTGTGGAGCGCAAACAGAGGAATAATAATACTAATACAAAATACAATAGCCCAAAATAACACTTACATTTTTATGCAGCATTCATGATGAATGCATGAAGGGCGCACACACGCCCAACAATTTAAAGTGCAAATCATTTTTGCTAATACTATATATGGAAATGCTTGAAATAATAGTTTAAAGAAAATAAAAACCGATTGGTCCAATAACGGCAATGATAAATCTATTACTATTATTTTACACGGTTTGATACCGATCATACCATGATAGCTCTAGAATAATATAAACTACATAAGACAATTCATAACAAAACAAACGACCCGCATCAGTACATCTACTTCTTTTCTGTATCCAAAACACATACACATACAACTCTTTTCCAATCACGCGCCCCCTCTATGCATGCCAATATTCCTTCATCATTTATCAATTAACAAGAAGAAAAAATCCCTTCAGTTGTTGTTTTTAACTCTTTGTGCTCCCCAAATAATCATTTCAGTCCATTATTTAACCATAGAACATATAACAAAACTATTTAGTAATTTCAGCACATACAATACAAAAGAAGATAAAAAAACACAAACAAACTTAACACACTGATAACCGTACTAGTAAAATAGCCAATTAAATTTATGTATTTTAACATTTCAGCATTAGAAAGTTTAAACAAAAAGAGAGAATGAAACCAAAAACAAAACATAAAAATAACCCAGAAATGGATTTTCAATTGTTACGTTATCATTTACATTTGAATTCAAGAACAAAATGTTTCGTAATTTCATACAGAAACGAAAAAATCAGAAACTTTTTTGAGGTGGTACGCTGAAATCTGCATTATTTCAACATTTAATTTGACCAACCAAGCTTAAAACCCACATACTAATGATGATGATAGCGAAGAATGAGAAAAGTGAATTAATGGATACATAATTTAGTTGAACATATAACCTCAATGGATGATAATTAAGTTTAGATCGATGATCATGAATTGAGTTTGAATGGACATAAAAGCACGATCACAACTATATTGTGGATAGAAATAACAAAATTAAACAATAAATGTTTACAACACAATTAAAAAAAATGATTGAAAAAACACACACACACATAAATAAAAATGTCAAAAAAATTAAAAGAAGCCATAATAAATACAACACTTTTGTAGTTTTTTAAAATTTCTTCATGAATGATCAAACGAACTGAAGAGACAGTAACTGTACGATGAAAGGTTTGTATCAGTTAGAATATGCATATTCTTCAGAAACGCTTAGAATGAATTAGAATGATTTTTAAAATAATCATTGATGTCAACAATGTACAGGTTAAACGTTATCATTTGAAATGTTGTTATCATTGCTGTTGTTACTGATTGTATTTTAAAAATTGGTGGAAAAATTAAAAAAAAAATCAATGCATCGGCCGGGAATCGAACCCGGGTCGCCCGCGTTCTGCGTAACTGCAAGTATTGTGGCAGGCGAGCATTCTACCACTGAACCACCGATGCTTGTGAAGAAAGAAACCACCCTGTCCACTACGGTCCAAACAGTACACTACAAATGAATACGATTGATTCAAACTTTTATGTATTTTTTTAGTTAAGGCAAAACATTTCACATACCAAAAAGTCGGGCTACATAAATCATGGAACGCCATCAATGGCCACAGAGCCAAATTCGAAGCCAAAACTGAAGTCAAATTGAGATACGTAATGGAAAAAGATCTTGAAAATTCTCATTTTTTTCTAATCCAGATGTGAATCAGTCAAGTTTATTGAAATCTGATCAAATAAAAGCTTATATAACATCCAACAAAACCAAGGGAAAGATCATTATTGAAACATTAGTAATCATTACAAATACTTGCAAAAGTCCTTCTTAATAATGATTTTCGATAGTTTTCATTGGTTTTAAATGTGATCGTCAACGTGTTTTTTCTTTCTGTCACATGTCAGATTGGCAGATTCCATGTCGTGTACGCTACGTCATTTAGTTGTACATTTAACTTTCTATTTTCGTTGATGGTCCTGACATTACACAAACTCATTTTCTGATAAACCGATCTATAACTATATGAATTGATGATTCGATGTGAATTCTAAAAAAATACGAATCTGGTAGAAAAATTAAAAAAATAATATTACTGCATCGGCCGGGAATCGAACCCGGGTCGCCCGCGTTCTGCGTAATTGCAAATATTGTGGCAGGCGAGCATTCTACCACTGAACCACCGATGCTTGTGAATGATGAAGCCCTAATTAGAAAATTCACGCAGTGATTTTTTCGGCATTAATGCATGGATTTTATATTTTTTTCATATATTGACACTGTGCTGATCGGTGAAACCGAGCGTGATCTTCATAAATAAATAATCGTTGATGTTTTCGTAATTGATTGGAAGCGGCTTGAAACAACAAAATTAAAAGCTTTGGTTAGGATGTTATTCTTCCATCGTTGATGTTTCATATGCAGAATTGTAGATATATGAGCGTCATAGACTTATGTTCGTTATATAATTTGGGCACCTCTTTTTTCTAATATTTCTATTATTGCACATTCGCTTGTTTCAAATAATGATTTCTAGTTTTTTCTTATATCGATTTATTAACTGTCATAATATCAAAAAGCCTACAAATCACCGCCGTTGTGTTCGTTCCCTATTTCAATTTAAAGGATCAGCACGAAATAATTTTTAAAAAATCGTTATTTATCTCTTGAAGTATTTATTTTTGCAATAATGAATTTTATCGATATAAAACTCTATCTAAATCACCCAAAAAGAGCTTATAACTATTTTAAGTACATGTATAAGATTCAAAGCAAACGTTAAATCAAAATTATGTATAACTCCTCTATGGTCTAGTGGCTAGGATATCTCGCTTTCACCGAGAAGGCCCGGGTTCGATTCCCGGTAGGGGAATCACTTTTTTAAATCATTTTTTCCAAAATTATCAATTTCTTCTGTCGGCGCGCCAATTTGTTAGATTTGCTATGAAACAGTTTGGCCTCACATGTCTGAAGTTGGAATAGCCTTCCTTTCCATTTTTGATGCATTTTGCTCCAAAATGATATTTTTAGCGAAAAAAATCATTTTCATTGCCTGAGCGATTAAAGCGATTTCTATTATTCTATTGGACTAACTAAATAAATTAATTCAAGCTGTGTGTTACTTTCAAATATTCATTTTACTACGAACGTGTTTGCGCATACGAAGAAACGTATTTGGTAGCTTTTACTTTTCCGCACACACCTAGTGTGTAAGGTAAAGTATTGGAATCGGTCTAAAAATTAACACCCTCAAAAAACACGTTTTCTGGGTGTTTTGGGAGCCAGGGAACACGAATCTAGCGTTTTTTCGATGTCCGAATGTATGTGCGTGGTACCCTGTACGCTGTACAACAAGAAAAGTAATTCAAAATCTGACTTCACAGGATGATTGGGGGTGCCGAGGAATAGAAACCATTAGATTTTGAGCGACTTTGGTTGACAGAGTGAAGTGTCATGTCTGGTGTGATGCCCATGGCCATCCATGGGAAAAATTCAATTTTTCTTCCAAAAGCGATATTTAATGTATACTTAAACACTCAAAAATGTGTATTGGAGGGTTTTTGGGTACGAGAAAACCGAATATGACCTTACTATCGCGCTAGATGGTGTCGACACGAGTGGACGGATTTTTAAATTTATTTGAAAGACGCCATGTTACTATACTTGTCCATTACAACGTACATGTAACAGAAGAAACACACAATCCATGTCCTCGCTAGTGGACATAAACGATTTGAACCGTCATTGTGAACTAGATCAAGTATAGAACTTTACATAGGATCATATACGATGAATATGGATTACACAGTCTGTTTCAAAATACCGTCACCAATGTCGACACCATTTGACATCAAAATTTTGACAGTAAAAATATGTGTTATTGTTGTTGTCGTTTCATTGCTGTGATTTTTGCGATACAAACAACTTTCAACACACTTTTCATACCAAAATTTCAAAAAAATTGAATTTATGTATGAAATCCATGTCTGTATGATGATCTGTCGTAATGAGCTGAAACTTTGCACAGGTTATTTTTATCACAAAAAATACCATTTCGAGAGTTTGAAGACATTTCAACGCATATTAGTACCTCCCGAACAAAATTTTGGATTTTTCACTCAAAAACGAAATTTTTTATGGGAAGTACCCTTAATATGCATTGAAATTTCTTCAAACTTTCAGAATGTTAACTTTTTGTGAAAAAAATAACCTCTGCAAATTTTCACATGATTACGATATCATATAGGCATGGCTGCGATACAAAAATTCCCATTTTTAGTAGTTTTTGTATGAAAAGTGCTTCGAAAATTATTTTTATCGTAAAACTAATGTCAGATTCAGTTTTCTCGTGAATTCAAATTTCAGTAAAAGATATGTAATAAATGCATGTTGTGGATCACAGTGCGGAAAAGTTCATCTTACGGATGTAAGACATTTTATTTTCAATCAAAACAATAATAATTTGTGTTTGATTTGTTTTTTTACAACACTTATTCTAATAATTTATAATGTCGGAACATTTCTCGAAAATGTTTTTTTCTCGAACGAACGTTTTTCCGAAAATTCAAGAATTCTTATTGTGTTATGTTTCGGCATTCTGGTTTTTTATTATTGATTTGACATTTTTTTTTAAATAAATTTTATAAATCAAATAAAGTCTGTATTTCACATATGAAGGCTATGTCAATTGATTTAACCGAAATAATTTGATATGTTTCAAACCAATTTATTCGATTTATGGTTTTTGGTTTCAAAATTGATAATCCTCTAAATTCAAACATATCTACAATGTCCGGTAAGGTAAATGTGATTAAACTAAACGCCCACAGTTGCGTTCCGGATCTTATTGAAATTTCTAGGAAAATAATATATAGAATTAAAAATAAATTGCGGTACAATTAAGGACATTTTTGGTACAATTATTTAAACCTAGTACCAAGTTTCGACTTTCACATGTGCGGACATTCGACTATACATCCGATTTAATTCGCTATCAGAATTTCACTCATGTCATTCATCGTCTGGGAATTCGGATAACAATAATAAAAGACTCATGAGTTTGTTGTAACAATGAAGTGCATGTGCATTTTTAATGGAAGTCTTATGTCAATGTTTATAAAATTATTATTGTATTAAAATTAAATATTTAATAAATTCAGGACAAAATCCAATGAAATTTCAAAAAATATATATGATTTAACAAAATATCTTCTATCTGAATCTAACTTAGTTATCATTTGTACTACTAACAGGAACATCAGTGAATGGGCTTTCGCTTGTAGTCTGTATTGTATCGGAATCGGATTGCTTCCCCTTTCGAAGTATTTCTGCGAGTTCTGTATAACCTGATAGAAAAAAACATATTTACTTCATGAATCATGATATGTCGTTGAAGAATGTTCGCGAATAATTTTGTGACATTAAATATTCTTTTTGAATATTGTGAGTTTTCAGGAAAAGTATATAAAGAAATCAATTAAAATTGAAAATAGTCACAGGAACATTTATTTTGTTGACAATTTGTCGCAATTTACTAAAAAATTCTATATTTCTTTCTTTTAGGTAAACACATTTTCCCATATCAATGGATGAGCAGTTACCTTTTTGAAATGCTACTTGAGAAGCAGTTTGTCCCTTGATATCTTTGGCATTTATATCGGCCCCGTCATCGATGAGTGCTTTAGCCGTTTTAATATTACCTATAATTTTATTAAATTAATTTTGATTAAGGATTGATATTAATTTTAATGAAAAATCATATGAAGTTACCTCTCTCAGCTGCTAAAATGAGCGGAGTTCTTTTATCGTTGCTCATCGCGTTTACGTCAGCACCTTTATCGATAAGAGCTTTCGAAGATTTTTCTTGATCTAAAAATGTGTGGAATTGAAATGGTTTTTATTTCAATAGATAAATAAATTCCAAATTACCTCTATAAATAGCCAGATGGAGCTTTAAAGATAAAAAGAATAATTAAATAAATAAAAATAATTTAAATAATTAAATTAATTTACCGGCGACCATTTGCCAACGGTTTCAGCATTAACATTTGCACCATTTTCAATGAGAACTTCGATTGGTCCGACTTCGTCTGATAGAGCGGCCATATGAAGTGGCGTTTGTTTGAAATAATCTTCAGAACTAACGTTGGCTCCATTCTTGATAAGAATTTTTAATGCATCCTCGCTACCTGTGGAGTTGTTTTATTAAACTTCATTAAGATGGTTTTCTTAACAATGTCAGTTTAACTACCATTTAGAGCGGCCTCGCCGAGTGGTGTCCATTTATAATTGTCTTCGGCATTAACATTAGCACCATTTTCGATAAGAATTTTTACTGTATCTCCATCACCTATGGTATATATAAATAAAATGCATTGAACCGGTCATTTCCAGGGGAAAGTTTGTAAATTTTATAGAAAATATGAGCAATTACCACTGTTGGCAGCTAGATGAAGCGGTGTACGTTGATCGTCACTCTGGGCATTGACATTTGCACCCTTTTCTATAAGAGCCTTAGATACGTTCTTGTGACCTACAAATTGAATTGAATTAAAGTTCAGTGGAGTGATTTCATATTGATGGGATATTAAACACAACCTTTATCAGCTGCCAAATGGAGCGGTGTCCATTTGCCAACGGTTTCAGCATTAACATTTGCACCATTTTCAATGAGAACTTCGATTGGTCCGACTTCGTTTGATAGAGCGGCCATATGAAGTGGCGTTTGTTTGAAACTATCTTCGGCATTAACATTAGCACCATTTTCGATGAGAACTTTCAATGCATCTTCGTTGCCTGAAAAATGTCATGCGTTATTGAGTTGTTTTTATTTATTTAATCGAAAGAATTATTCTATTACCATTTAAAGCGGCATTATGGAGTGGCGTCTGCTTATAATTATCCAGGGCATTGACATTTACACCTTTATCGATAAAAATTCTAATTGTTGTAGCGTTGCCTAAAAAGTTAATTAAACATAGTACAAAGTAGTTGAATTCATTTTAAGGGAAAAATATGTACGATTACCATTTATAGCAGCCAGTGAAAGTGGTGTTTGTTTGGAACTGTCTATGGCATTAACATTAGCACCATTGTCGATAAGAATTTTAACAGCTCCAAAGTTGCCTGAAATGTTGTTAAATCAAACTTCATTTCTTTGATTTTATTTTGATAGAAAATATGAGCAATTACCACTGTTGGCGGCTAGATGAAGCGGCGTTTGTTTATCATTGCTTTCGGCATTCACGTTTGCACCTTTTTCAATGAGAACTTTAAATACTTCTTCGTCACCTGAAAATTTATTTCATAAAAAAATTGAGGTCGTTTCAGAGAGCAAAGTATTTGAAGAGAAATTTGGGACGTCAAGTTACCATTTTCTGCTGCCATGTGAAGCGGTGTTTCTTTAAAGCGATCGACGGCATTTACGTTTGCACCGTTTTCTATAAGGATTTTAATTATTTCGGTGAGGCCTGAAATGGTATTAAATTAAACTGTATAGTAGTGAATTTTATTTTAATACGAAAATAAGCGAAATTACCATTAAAAGCAGCTTTATGAAGAGGTGTCTCTTTTTGACGATCTTCGGAATTAACATTTGCACCATTTTTAATGAGAACTTCAACTGCGTTAATATCACCTAAAAAGATTTTCAATTATACTTCATTGGAATGTTTTATCTGAATGTAAAAATAAGTGAAATTACCATTTTCAATTGCCTTCATAAGTGGTGTCTCTTTCTTACGGTCTTGAGCATTAATATTCGCACCATTTTCAATGAGAATTTTCAATGTTTCTCCATCACCTAAATCAGTTGTTTAATTAAAATTCATTGGAATAGTTTCATTTCAAATATATACGATTACCATTTAAAACGGCATTATGGAGAGGCGTACGTTTGTAATTGTCGACGGCATTAACATTTGCACCATTTTCTAAGGAAGCCTTCAATTTATCCGTGTCAACTGAAAAAGTTCAATTTATAGTTTAAAAATAGCGTTTTATTCAATTTAATGAAAAAAATGGAGTAGTTACCCGAAGTGGCAGCCACAAGTGTGTCTTCATCACCGCTTTCGGAATCAATATCATCTGGATCATCAAATACTTTTGAGTCGGTGCTTGAATCGTCGTCCTCAAATGTAGAAATATCAGTGAATGGTTCTTCGCTTGTACTAACTGAAGTAACATGGGTAAAATTGCCTTCTTCAACAGTGGTGTTTGGTTCTGTTGAATTTAGAGTTGGTACCGTTGAAAAATTGGACGTACTCAATGAAAGGTCTTCTTCTGTGCTTGGCGTGATGTCTGAATCCGTTGAGTTTAGAGGTGGTTCAGTTGAAAAATTGATCGTAGACACTAAAATTTCTTCCTCTGTGGTTGGCGTGATGTCGGGAACCGTTGAACTGGGAGTTGATTCAGTTGAAAAATTGGTCGTACTCAGTGAAACATCTTCTTCAGTGCTTGACGTGATGTCTGGCAATGTTGAACTTAGAGTTGGTTCAGTTGAAAAATCGGTCGTACTCACTGAAACATCTTCATCTGTGCCTGGCGTAGTGTACGGTTCCGTTGTACTTGAAAGATCTGTCGTTGTCGGAACACCTTTAAATGAACCTTTAGTTGTACTCTCATGCATATTATTGCCCTTTCCATTTTCAATCAGAAGAACAACACAAAAAAGCACAATGCATAAACTCTTCATTTTCACTAAAAAATGTAAATATTTGGCTGAACTATTCACTTTTCCCAAAAACAAAGTCTAATTTAGTGCAAAAAGATGCAGTTTTTAAAATTAATATTTCGTTAAATGATCACTGCACTGCGATGAAGAAAAGCACAAAACTAATTAAAAGACATAAACTGTGACTATTCTCTTTTATACTGTTGGCAATTTGAGCAAAATATACATGTGTTTTGTTCCGTTTTGTGTCCAAAAGTTTCACAAACAACGAATGACTATAAAAAAAGCGGTATGCATTTTGTGAACACGTGCATCTGTACGCAGTGCGTAGATTATATGATTGATAAACAAAATGCTGATGTTGTAATGTATAAACCACAATAAAAAATTGCAAAAAACTAATTGCAAACAAAACACATGAGTTTATGTGATTGACCTACGCAATTTTTCTTGTTTATAGTTGACGTGTCAACAATCGTAATCGTAACTTATAGAGCATCTAAGAGTTTGAATAAAATTGCGATAACCTTCAATGTTTGTATGTCAATAAAACCAATTTTCGTGATCTCTTTTGGTTTAGACAGTTCAAATAAATGGATCAACTTTATTGCTAATATTGCAGCTGCAACGCAAGTCCGAAAGGCGTTACTTGCTTTTTCTTTTAATCTTTGCAAAATTCTTGAATGCACATTCAAATGATATTGATCATTTTGCCGATGATGCAATACTATCGCACCTTTGGACTTTTACAATGTATATGTTATCAATACAATTAGTTCGCATTGACTAGGATTATCAACATATGATTGAAGTCCCGTTTCTGATAAATTGATTTTCATTTTTCGCATGCGAAAATATTTCAAGTTTAATTTTGCTATCAATTTCACTTTGGAATGAAAATAGATTGAATGCTATCCATTTTTATGCTTTCAAAAGCAACTAACATTTGAAAACAAAATCGAATCAATTCCTTTCCAATAAGAATTTTTCTCTCATTAAGAGGCGATTACAATAATTCTTCAGTATTGACGGAACGGTGTTCGATTGATTCATAATTTTAACGTATAAGTATCTCAATTTCATTTTTAACACCACTTTCAGTCGATTTAACGAATTGAACGTCATTTATTGCTTGTTTTTCAGTCTCACAGCACTTTCAGCAAAGTTCAGAGTGTCAAAGATTATAGAGATGCCATGAAAAAGAAACTATGCATCAAAGTACGGAAAAAACTTGAACAGATTCAACAGGAAAACCACAGCAAAGCACAATATTATTTAATCAAATCTCGTATTTCTAATCTCATATAAATAATTCATAAAAAATATATATGGAATGCAATCACTGCATTTTACTTAATCCATACCTTTTGATGTCAATCAGTAATCAGTTGTAATTCAATCTTCATAAAGATCGTTGCCAATTTCCCTGCAAAAACTCAAATACCACAAATTTTGAATGCCTATCCATCCACCATAATTAAGTTACCACCTGCTCAAAAATTCATACAATACGTTAAAATATTATAAATAATGCAAAAATTGTTGGAAACAGTGTCAAATGGTTATTGAAAATATTTCCCAAAAACTCTAATTGCAATATGAACCAAAGGAAACAAAGTTCATCTATTAGAAAATAATATTTAGTGATGAAAAAAATAGCAAAAATGCATGGAATTCATTTGAAATGTTTATTTCTATTAGTTTTGAATTGTGTTGGATGTGAAAAGATAAAAAGTTTTTTCTTAGACTTCGAACAGCTTAAATATGATCTTTTTCTTGAAAGTTATTCCAAACTATCAAAAAATAATTCGGAATCACTAAATAATTTTAAAAACAAGAAATGTTTAATAGAATTGGAAGCAATTCAAAATGGTTTAATTACACGAGAGAGATGGGCATTACAAAGTAATATTTACACTTAAAATTCGAATTTGTTTGAAACTGCAAAATATGTTATTCGTTTTCATTAGTTGTGGATTCATGGGGCAAATTACCATCCGGCATATTTAGTGGCAATACACATGACTTTGGTTCATATTTCCAATGTTTGGAAATAAAACGATATGAAACACAATATTGTTTAGGTCGTTTATTTTATGACCTTGAAGAGAAAATTGCGTCGAAAATTTATCGATATGACATCAATAACATCGCTTTTCCTGATATGGTTCACGTTAAAAATGCACCAAAGTAAAAAAAAATAGTATCCACTATGTTCTTGTAAAACTTCCATACCCTTTGATTTCATTTCATATATTTAGAGTTGACACGAGAAGATCTTATATAACATTTGGTACTTGTTTGCCAGCGGCATGCCCATTTGATATTTTTGAGCAAATCATCAACGATTTACTTCCAAAACACCCGAACAATTTTTCTATTCAATTGCCTAAAGATACGTGCCAAAAGGGAAACAACGATCCTCGACTGACAACTGAAGAGAAAATTACAATGTAAGCACCGAAAATGCCATTTCATATGATTTTAATTGAACTTTCACATTTTTATCGTTTTATTTTCATTCAAAGTGGTTTACTGGTGATAATATCTGGTTTGGTATTCATCAGTACTGGCTATGATATTCTGTGTACCAATCGTATGTATTTTTACCACTCAATGTTCCCAACTGTGTTTAAGGTGCATGAATTAAAAAAAAATGATTTAATTTCTTTTAGGCAAAAAATCTCAGATTTTGTTAGCATTTTCTTTTTATTCAAATGGACAAAAGTTGTTTTCTTTAAATGAAGTCAATACATCAGAAACAATACAATGTTTACACGGAATTCGCGTCCTATCGACACAGGTTAACAAATTATTTGTCCATGAATTTGGGATGTTGTTTTTTCTGTCATTTTCGATGAAATGCCAATTTTTTCAGAAGACAAAAAAAACATCCATTTCATGAAAATCAAAAATTCATTTTTTCAGTGGGTGGTTTTATGTCATACATATGCCTTCTATTTATTAATTCCGATTCACAATAGGGTTGTACACGATGCGGTAAGTATTGTTTTACTGATTTTCACGTTGAATTTCCATTAAAAAAAAATTTACAGTTTGTCTCAAGATACAGCAACATGATAATTGTTTCGGGGTTTGTTGCGGTGGATACGTTCTTTGTGTTGAGTGGTCTTTTGGTTTCAATCGGCATACTAAAACATTTAGAAAAGTAAGTCTTAAATGCGAAAATTAAAAAGAAATTTGCAATGCATTTGTTATAACACGAAAATTTGTGTCTTTTTTCAAATCCAAAGACATGGACGGTTAAATATTCTACAGTTTTATTTTCATCGATATGTGCGGTTAACGCCACTTTTGGCAATATCCGCTTTGATTACAGTGTCAATGTATCGTTTTGGCGAAACAGGGCCGCTGTGGTCTATTGTGGCCGACATTAATAAGAAACAATGTGAGAAATATTGGTGGTCAACACTGTTGTATATTCAAAACTATGTGAATCCAGATGATCTTGTGAGTGTCGTTTGAATACCGTTATTCTTAATAATTGAAAACTATAATTGGCGTTTTTTTTCTAGTGTTTTGTGCATTCGTGGTATTTATCAGTTGACGTGCAGCTCTTTTTAATTTCACCAGCGATCGTTTATTTAATTTATCGATTGAAAAGAAAAGCTTTAATTCCATTGACTATGCTCCTGTTGGTTTGCATTTATTTCACATTAAATGTTCATGTGAAGCATAATTTGACGACTTTATTTGCGTAAATGATGGATTTTTTCAACAAAATTTTTATTTATACTAAAAAAAGTTTTTTATCGATAGTTTACCGGGCGATAAAATGAAAACGGCTTATGTCCCAACACACATACGATTTTCGTCATGGTTGATCGGAGTCATTGCTGGATATTTTCACTTTGAAAATCGCAACAGAAAGATTCAAATCCCAAAAGTATTGAATTTATTGTCAAGATTTTTTAAATATTTTTTCATTGAAATTGGCTTTTAGATGATCAACATATTAGGTTGGACGTTGTCTTTGATTACAATGACATTGGTAATTTTCGCAAATTATCCATTACAACAGTTAGATGAAAATAAAAGATTTTCTCCAATTGTACATGGTTTGTACGATGCCTTAAGCCGTATTGCTTGGTCGACAGCTTTGTGTTACATCATTTTTGCTTGTGCTCATGGCTTTGGAAGTGTCGTGGATCGCTTTTTATCGCACTCATATTGGCGACCACTTTCTCGGCTCTCCTATTCAATTTATCTCTTTCATTTTATTGTAATTGGATGTGTAACAGGCACACACAATTCTCCGCCACATTTTACCGAAACCGCAGCCGTAAGATCAATACTTATACCGAATTAAATGTAATCTTTTTAAAAGATTTCTTTTTATACATACAGTTTAATATTTTCATCAGAAATTATGTGATAACGGTCGTTGTATCAATCGTTGGAACATTAACTCTTGAATCACCAGTAATTGCACTTGAGAAAATACTAATCGGCTCTTCAAAGAAGATTGAAGCCATCTCATCTAATGGAAATAAGTCTGGAATTCAACAAACTGATAGTGAAAATAGTGAAAGTATGAAAAAATATCAATGAAAAAAATGAAACCATTTAATCATTATTTTAACAATTATTCAATAAATATAAAGATATCAACCTCGTATTTTAATCAGTTTACGCAGATGTTGAGTAGCACGAAATTTACTAACATTTTTCCTTTAATATGTAGAATTTCCAAGAAAATTCTAAAAAACAAGCATTTTCGCATAAAATTGGACTATTGTCTTATCGAATTCAAGACTTTGAAAAAGACATTTTGCATAAATATGCACCTCATGAAAGAACCGCGATTGATATATGATTGGTAAACCCTTGGGCAATAGATTAAAAAAATTCAAGAGAATTTGGATTAATAGCTTGGACCGAGATCTTGATCACAAACATTTCAATTTATTCTTTAATATACTCTCTGGATAAAATTATGGGTAAAATACATATTATTTTTCTTCAAAAGAATTTATTTCTTTATGCCAGAAGTTCTTCGATTTTCTCAGCAATGTCCATTGGATTTGTGGTTGGAGCGTAACGGTGAACGGGTTGTCCATTTTTGTCGACAAGGAATTTGGTAAAGTTCCTGTTAAATACCATGAAATACATAGATTAATTTTTGGAAGACGAAACGCCGATAATTCAGTATGATTCAATTAGTAAATACCATTTAATGAAAGAGCCTGCAATTCCAGTTTGCTTGTGTTTCAAGTACACGTACAATGGGATTGTTGATTTGCCATTCACATCACCCTTAATTGAAAAACAAAATTGTTAGAACATGCCCATTAAAATATCATTTTGTGAAATTACTTTAGCCATGACCAAATCGAATTCCATGTTGAAATCTTTCAAATGTTTCATGATTTCGTCACCATCAGCCTCGGGCATTTGACCTGCGAAAGAAACCATTAACTTATGGATAAAAAACCAGAGTATTGCTCAGCGCTGCTGCCATCCACAGAATATTAAAATATCTTGCTGAGAATGCGCCGTCCGTCGCATGCGAACTTACGTAGCAGTTTATACATCACAGCGAACAAGAATGAATCCATTGTTCTCTTCACGATTAGGTGGCTCAAAACATTCAAACGATTGAATAGAGAACAATGCATGTATTGTTGTTCGCTGTGATGTATAAACTGCTACGTACCTTCGCATGCGACGGACGACGCATTCTCAGCAAGATATTTTAATATGCTCTGGATGGCAGCAGCGCTGAGCAATACTCTGTAAAAAACCCACAACATGTTCACACAATGAAGCTACTCACCAGCAAATTGGTTGCTTGGGAAAGCTAGTATTCTCAACCCTACAGTGAAAGAAAACATTTGCCAATCAAATCATCCATTATCATTTAATATTTTTCGATATAATTTACCTTGGTCGTGGTATTTGTTTCTCAATTCCATCATTTTTGCGTATTGGTTTCTGGCAAGACCGCAATTTGAGGCAATGTTAACCACAAGCACCACTTTTCCCTTGAACGTCTCCAATGAAACGTCATTATGGTAGGTGTCCTTCACAGTGAATTCGTAGATTGATGCTGCTTGGGTTGGATCTTCAGGCTGAAAACAGAAGAATGCGGAAAACATTACTATCATTTCCAGAATAAATTACTTATTATTATCAAAATCTTATAATTACCACAGCTTCACCCAAGCACGAAAGTAGGCACAACGAGGCCATACATAGTAATACTTTTGAATTCATTTTTGGTTAAAAGGAAAACGAATTTTGATGTCAATGGTTTCACGAATTGTTTGAAATCAACTGACAATTTTTATTTGGTTCAACATTTATACGACATTTTTGTGGTCAAAATAAGCGTAATCAATCAATTGATTAATTTTATAACGCACTTGAAATGTGGAAAAATTTGTTCATATCAGCATGATTAACACAATTTATTTACTACTTATACACAATTCTTCCTGAATGGAATCTCAGGCTGGAAAACAAAATTCTTATTGAATCAAAGTTCAGTCTTAATCATGTTTGTTAACAATTTTTTTGCTATATTTTTAATATATATCAATACTATAGTTGAATGATTCAACTGTTGAATCATTTGCTAAATAATCTTAATCAACAAGATCCGACAGTATTAATTTTTATATCTGATGTTGATTTTTCCTAGAAAATGTAAAAAATTTTGTGATAAATCATTATGCATTCAGAAGTTCATTTATTTTTATCAATCTATTTATAGCATTTATTATGTTCTTTTCTTTAAAATAGACACACGTGAATTTCACATTGTAAAAGTTTATTATACACAGTAAATGAGCTCAAAATTTATTATCACAAAGATTAGAATATTTAATCTAACATTGTAACATTGTCATCATGACTGTTTAAATTACATAACATGCGCGAAAAAAAGAAATTACAATATTAGCGTAGATTACGAAAATGATGAAATATCATTTAATCATAGAGTCCCAAAAGTCAAACGGGATAACATGAAATTATTAACAATGATTCATGAATTATTGACTATCAAATACAAAGCATGGCAATAAGACAACATTGCTTACTAACGCCACCAAATAACTTCATATAATTCTATATAGTTCTGCGATTGCCAGCGGTACTAATCTCTAATAAAGCGTTGCCGAGCTGTCATTATTTCCATGCTCTGATCAAATAAATAGATAATATAATATATATTATATAACAAAATATTAAAGAATTGTCAACAAACATGATTAAGGCTGAACTTTGATTCAATAAGAATTTTGTTGTCCAGACTGAGATTCCATTCAGGAAGAATTGTGTATAAGTAGTAAATAAGTTGTGTTAATTGAATTAATTTTCAATATAAAATCGTTTTAAAAGCAACTAATTCAACCATCGAATAAAACAAACCACAATATTTAAATCACAAAATTATGTGTGACACTTTTTGATAAGAAACAAACAAGATGCACTGCACTGTAAGAATTCAAATGTCATCATTTATATGACAAAAAAAAACTTTTTTTGAATATCAATATTTGTTGGTATCGTTAAATTTGACAACATGTTTTTCCTAAAGTTTCATTTTTTCACGCAATTGATTCTTACCATTAAAAATATTCTAAATAATAAATGAAAATAGATTTTTGTGAATTAAATATAATTCATTCTCGAGGAATAGAAAGAACAATAACAATAAGATGGCTACACTTATCTGACCAACAGTAGAATTGAGAAAATAAAACAAGCCAGTTTTTGTCTCAATAGCTCTTAATTTCAACTAATTTTCGCTAATTTACAAATATTATAATTTCGTGAATCACCCTTTGGTATTGAAGAAGTAAGCATTTATTCTATCTGTTGTTTTTCAAATGAAAATGAAACAAATTTCACATTCGACGTTGTTGCATCGAATCCGTTCTTTCTTGCGCATTCGTTGAAATCAGCAACCTAATTCCATCCTCCTTTGATTGGTCTCTGAAAGTCGAAAATTTGGTTATTCGTTTGCATTTTTACAGAAAATGCATTTTTTGATGTCATCGAGTGTTGTCCACCTATTATAGGTCGCGTCATTAATTTTTAAATGAAACAATTGACAATTCACAATTCAATTAGAAATTCTTTTATTAATAATATGTATTTTCTTAATCAATTCAATCTTTAAGATGTTTTTCCATAAAATTAAAATTTTTATTTAAAAAAATTGCAATCGCTTTATATACTCTTTTAAATAGTTTGTTTTTACAGTTCAATTATATTCATTTATTTATTTTTCAATTGTACACATGAAGTAATTTGAGTTAATTAATTAAGTATTCCATCAGAAAGATCTATGACAATGTAGAAAATTCAAACATCTTTCTTAAGAATTGAAATGATGGAATCAGTGTTTTTTTTATCAATTAAAATAAAAGAGAATCGTGGAAATCACTCATTTTGATATGCTGTTATAAATAATAAATAAGTGTGTGGATGGGCGTATTTTGGAATTGGGATGTTACAACATTGAATGCCAATTAACTCGACGCCAGACTAAACATTTTTCTAAAATACTTTTTCACTAGTTTTTAAGGGGACTGCACAACACATTTGAATAGGTCAAAATGAAATTCCGACTTGTATGCAGAGTCTATAAAAGTGGAACAGTTTTTAAGTTGTGGAGTTTTTTTTACATAGTTTATTTGTTGTAATACAACAACAATTCTATGTAAAAAAAACACTGTGTTCCACTTTTATAGACTCTGCGTACAAGTCGGATTTTTATTCTGACCAATTCATTTATCAAATTAAATCAAATCAAAATTGTTGTCAGATTCCAGAAAAAAAAATCCCATCCCTTATTCTATATTGAAACCAACTCGCAAAGTATCTTGACTGGCAGCAATTTTTTTCCACAAAAATATTGTGCGTTCATTTGTTTTGTCAATATTGGATCAATTCGAAAAGCAAAACTTAAATGTATATCAGATTACACAGTCAAACGGGGGGACTCACTTTTTATAATAAAATAAATATAGAATTTATTTACTAGACAAAAAAAATATTTAAATTTTCTTCCAATTTGACAATTATGTGGTTAATTTTTTTTGTTTTTATTTTGGCTAAATTACAAATGAATATTTGAATTCTATTTTCTTGATAAGATCGAATCTCGCTCATTTCAAGCAAATTAATTGTCTAATAATAACTATATCAAAGTGGAAAATAGATCTCAAATGTCGAAATTAAATTGAATTTTAGCCATTTTCATACCGTATTTCATAAACGGCGTTAAATAAATAGAATGTGGTTTAAAATGACTATATTGGATAGAAAATGAAGCTTTAAACAAAATACACTACTATGATTGGTGAATGATTTTTTTATCAGTTCATATAAAAGCCTCAAGTAAAATATATTACAGTGGTCATGTTTGAATTTCTGTACAAACATTTCTTTTAGAATTTTTTTCGTCGCGTTGTTTAATTTATTCAGATTTGGAAAAGTTAGTTGAGAACTATCGCCTTTATCGTTTATATAAAATATTTGATAAAGTTCGGATTTGCGATTGCAGGTCGGATTCCATGCTATCTAATTCAGCGTCGATTTTTTCTTTCATTTTTAACAGATTTGGTAGACTGTTCACATCTTTTATGTTCAGGAACGTTGAAAAGAACTCTGTCCATATGTGTTTTTTCAGGTACCTAACAAAGGGAATTGACGTCAGTAAAATTTAACGTCACATTTTTCAATTTTTTGTTGTGGGATATTTACCGTGGCAACTTTTGTTTTATTTCGTATTGATTGAATTTCTTCACCATTTGCATGTATTCGCCAAAGAGCATGACATGGATCGTTCCGGCCACACAGAAGATATCCGTTTGATAGGACCATGGACGGCCCTCCAACATTTCGGGACACGTGAAACCATCAGTTTGGATTACCTGATGTCGAAATAAAAAAAGATCATAAATGCAATTTACTGTCCATCCTGAGTGACCACGAAATATTTCATAAAATCGACATAGTTTACCTTTTTGAATTGAGTGTTTACCTCAAAGAACTTCATATCAATGGCGCAACCAAAGTCAATCAATCTCAAGGTTGGCGCATCAGAATTTGGATTCGGTCTGAAAGTCAAAATACATACATCAATACTCAATCCACAAAAAATATGAAGACAATTTAATACTTACACTTTCATCAACAAAAAGTTATCCGGCTTGATGTCTCCGTGGATAATTTTACAGGTATGCAAATAATGAACTATGTTCAATATTTGGCTGGTGAAATGCATCACAAGACTTTCGTGCATCACCTAAGAGGAAAGAAAAAATAAATCCAGTGTTAATGCATAGTTTCTAGAAAAATAATAATATTTTCGAATAAAAGTACCTTGGTAGTTGATTGGCGGATGCGATTATTTATGTCGAGCAAAGAACCAAATTGTGAAAATTCCGATACAAAAATGCTGGCATTTGGTGCAATTATTGCCGATGATATATCCATAAAGCCGAGCAACTGTTGATTGAAATTCAAGGTAAATGATTAGTATATTGGACAGTGCGTGTATTCAATATGTTCAACTTACCAATTTCTTATTTTTTATTCGTTGATGAACTTCAAAGCAAATATACAGTTCCCATGTATTTGGTGGTTTTTGATATTTTAACGCAACAACATCGCTGGTATTTGCATTAACTCCACGATACACATTACCATATGCGCCGCGTCCAATTTCCTTTTCCACATTGAAACGAATGTCACCAATTGTAACTGATTTCGTGTTCGATAGCTTCGATATGTGACTATTTGATATCTTATAGAATTCGGTGTGCTCTCTCGACGGGAAATTGGCTTTGGTCAAAAATGCTTTGCACAGCTCAGAATTGAATGGATCAATGTGATCCTTTTTGTAGTGTGTATCAATTGTCTTCAAGGCTTTATCCAATCGTTGTTGATACAGTTCTTCGTTGCTTTCAACTTCAAAGAAACTATTCGGTTCAACCATTGAAAATGATGTCATCGAATCATCATTTTCATTCAATGTACTATTAAATAGTGATAAATTCGATGTTCGCCTTCTCAGCGATTTGTATGTATTTCGTGGCGTTGACGATTTTGATGATGATTCATTGCTCTTGTAACTGGGCTTAGCCGATGAACATGGCGATTGATAGTTGTTTATATTATTATTGTTACGAATTGGTGTCGATGTAGCACCATTAAAATTGAAACGAGTATTTCTTCCCGTTCCGTTTGCAGTACCATCGGTTGTTTCATTACTGAATTTGCCATAAAGCGTGTTGAAATCAGAATTTGAGCACGAATCATCGTCTTGTAAATAGGTTGGTTCGAATTTCGGTGTTTTGGTTTTTGATTTTTTCGTTTTGGTTAATTTGTTTGTAAGAAGACTTGGCGTTGAAAATGAATCTAGAAGTGAATCATTTGATTCGGTAAATTCTTCATTGGCCATGAATGTTGAATTTTCGGATTCACTATCAAGGCCAGTTTTAATGGCCGTTCGACTTTTATCACCTGATTTTGGTTTCTTCGATTTCCTCGTTTTTGGCGTTTTTGAAATCGTCGATGGAGGCACTGGTTGTAACGCTTCATATTCAGCTTTTTCTTTGCTATATTTTAGTGTGATTTTCGGCAATTTATCGGAACCATTTTTAAGCACAATTGTTGATGCTTCGATTTGCTCTTCAATATCGTCTGCATAGCTATTCACAGTCTTGGTCTCGGTCACCGACGGCCCATGCATTTCACGACTTTGACCATCATAATTGCCATTCAAATGAGTTTCGATTGGTACCGTGGTTAATGTGGTCATCGTTGTTGCAGTAGACGATGATTGAGTTTGATTTTGGTATTGGTTGTATTCATGAGTTCTTTGCGCTTGTGGGGCATACGCTGGTTGAGATTGATAGGTGGAATCTTGATGGTATTGCATATGCATCGCTGATGATGATGATGGTGGTGGTGGTGGTGTTGCGGCCATCATATTTGGTATATGTTGTTGCGTGGGCATTTGTTGCGGAGGTGCCAGTGGATAACGAGATTGTTGGGATCGATATATGTCAGTCTGATGATGATCAACCTGTTGCTGTGGTTGATAGTGCATCGATGGCTGTGGTGACATATGATTTTGATTGTAATATGGCTGTTGCACCTGCTGAAGAGGTGGTATCTGTTGTTGCATGGGTTGCATTTGTTGATATGGAACTGGTGAACTATTTTGATGATTCGGCACTTGATAATTGACATAATTGTTATATACCGATGACTGATTTTGTTCATAGTAGCCCGAATGATTATTTACAGGATGAGATGGATTTTGATTCGGCTGAGCATGATACCGATTGGTTTGCTATTTTAGAAAAGAAGAAAAATAACGTTTTAAAATCATCAATTTTCATAAATGTTTATGTTGAATTCAAATACCTGTTGTGCAAAAGCCGTTTGCTCTTGCATTTGATGCATTTTTTGTTGTTCAGCCAATCGGCGTTGCTGTTCCTCTTCTTTAGCCCGCTGCATGCTTTCCAATGCTGCCAATCGATTTCGTTCACGTTCTTTCATAATTCTTTCTCGTTCCAGTTCGGCCCGTCGTCTCTCAAGTGCCTGTTGCTCTTCATAGCTCTGTTGTCGCATTATATGTTGTTGTTGCTGTTGTTGCTGCTGCTGTTGTTGTTGCTGTTGTCGTTGTTGCTGCTGTTGTTGATGATGCTGTAGCTGCTGTTGTTGCATTTGTTGCTCATATCTCTGAAGCGGTGCTGCTGGTGTTGGTTGTTGTTGCTGTGGCTGTGGTTGTGGTTGCTGTTGCAATTCATATCTTTGCTGATTTAAATGTTGATGTTGCATTTGATTCATCTTCATATGTTGTTGTGCAAATTCTCGTTGACGATTTCTAGCTTTGATTGATTCAATTACTTTGGTATGATTTCGAGCTCGAATCTCCTCTAAGCTGTATTCGCATCCATTTCCTGGATACACCAGATATCGTGGATATTTACAAATCTTGTTTGTATCAGGTTCTTCGAGGGCAAGTGGCCAAGTCCATGGTTCATGATGGTTCTTCGAAAATCGAGCGAAATTTGGTGGTAACACACAGCCTCCAGGTAGTGAATTCTGTTCAATGGTCGTCGATACATTGGTCGTAGTATAAGTCAATGTTTCATCGGTATATTTGGTACTTTCAACTACATTTGTTTGAGCATTGTTGTAGCCATTATTATAACCTCCATAGTCTTCTGAACCGTCCTCGTCACCGCTATACACCGAATTCAATGACGATGCAATCGCACAAGCCGTACTCGTGCTATTCAATTCGTCGCTGCTATTGACTTTCGCTTCGCCTGTCCCATATTGATTATTAAAATCGGTTCCATTTTTTCGATTAAAATCTACCTGTTCTGTTGATTGCGCCGGATAATTGTTGTAATTCCTATTGTAAGTACTTGTACGTTGTTCTTCTGAACAACGGAATTTTTTGGCTGGTGGTTGCTGTTCATCGACAGGTGCGGCAAAGCCTTGGTACGTTGGTTGCATGGTCGGCTGATTGGCATACGCATTCGGCTGTTGATTTTGCTGTGGCGTCTGCTGCTGTGGCGTCTGCTGCTGCTGCTGAGGTGGCATCTGTGGGACTGTCTGTTGCTGTGATGGCGCCTCTTGTTGCTGTTGCTGTTGTTGTTGTGATGGCGTCGGCGGCTGAACATAGGTGGAGTTTTGCTGTTGATTCATTGATGGAGGTGGCGTATAATTATTTTGTGCATGTTGAAAATTCGATACATTTGGCGATGAATTTGATGGATTTAATGAGGTTAATTGTTGCCGTTGATCATTCAATTGATTTACGGTTCGTTTTTTCGATTGCTGATCATTATACAGCATTCGTTGGGAAAGTGAATACCGAAATTCCTTATGGGCTTGTTCAAGCGCATCGTACGGTTGTGCGTTCGCTTGAAATCCCAAATTGTACACGGATTCGGCTTGTTTGAATGCATTGGCTGAATCGTAATAGTGTGCCCATCCAATATAGAATATAGCACACTGGGTACCAATACCACGTTGGTAAAGCACCTGATACAATTGCAGTGGATTATTCTTTAGCCCAATCTGAAGATGAATGAAAGAAATGCATGAATGAATATTTGTTATTTTATGCGTGTATGCGTGTATGTGTGTGTGTGAGTACATGAAATCAATCAAAAATTTTACTTACATATTTCATCCAAAGTTTAACCATCCTCTGGTCCTGTTTGTAATGCTGTTGCGTCTCATAAAGAGACAAACACTTGCCCAAAACGGTTTCGAACAAACGTTCATGATCGAGTTGAATGTTTTGTTCGTACCAGCAAATAAATTCATACCATAGTTCCAGCGGATCTGAACCTTGATAGTTGCTGATTGCGTTTTCCCATTTTCTGGAATAAAATAAAAATCAAATATGTCATACGCCCACCATTGACAGTACATTTTCATTGAATAACTTACTGTTTTTCTTGATGAAATGTTGCTGGATTGTGGTTAAAATTCAAATGCTGTGGGTTCATTATTTTATTTAACAGCACATGTGTCTGGTTTTGTACGAATGCCGCTCATTCGTGCGAGCTGTCGTAATAATTTAAGTCTCAATGTTTATTGTGAAATGAATGTGTAAACAAATTCCAGGCAATCAGTCGATTGTTCTCTATCACAAAATTGGCTATTAAAAAATAAAACAATCCAACGCCGACGAAAAGTAGAAAAATGAAGAAATTTCTGCAAATAGGATATACAAATATTATTATTCATATCAATATAATGCGAATAAAAAATTCAAAAGAAATATATTGATTTATATTCGAAATAAATTGGAGGATTGAATTTGTTTAGTATATTTATAACTGAACGCACATGTTTCTATCGTTTTGTTTATTTTAATTGAATAAATATATGAATGTATTTTCTTTTAGCAGCAAATTACACTGTCGATGAATTTGCATATTAGAAATGAGAAATATTTTTGTTTGATTTTGCTCTGAATTATAATGTTTTACGACTGTGTTCTTTTGTTTTTGTAATGAATTACGTGTATATTGCGATCCAGCACCACAATATATACACATATGCCAATGTATGTACTAAAACGCGCAAATGAGAAAGCATTAATTGTATTACAATAGATACGATGCACTAGCCCATAGACGCAAACCAACGCAATGGATTGCTTTCAAACATTGTGTGTATAAAAATAAAATAAAACAAACATAAAACAGTTTGCCCATATCATTGAGTGTCAGTCGCACACGTCGACACATACAAACGGAAATGTAACGAAAACACACGCACACACACACCTACATACAAACAAACAAACAACCGTACATCCATACAGCCAAAACAAATGGTCATGCAATCGACGCACACATACCCACGCTACACCACAAACAGGCAGCTTCATTATGGTTTTGATGCAAAAAAAAATTTTCTTCAGATTTTTATTTGCAAAACATAATTTAGAGCTGCAAGCAATTTACAATAATAACGGTTAATTCTATGTTTTGGTCATTGTATTCGGGGAATTGGCTTATTTTTCTCAAGAGATTATTAAGACTCAGCTGGGTCAGTAGATTATGTTATGATATGCATGACATTGAACGGAAGAATGAGGAAAACTGTACCAAACTCATACACATATAAAAAAAATCGCTATTTTTATAATGCAAATGTTTATGAAATTCGAATTTGTATTTCAATCACATCACACATTTTTCACATGTTCAAAAGAGTTACAATGAATGTTTCGTATTAATATTTTACGACTCTCTTTTATAAATGAACACCACAATCAACAAAACATCACAAATAAATCATCCTATTTTCTTTTTCAATGGTTCAGCCAATAAATGCAAATGTTATTATTCAATTTAATTGCACAATTTAAGAATAAAAACAATAAACAAAATTGAAAATAAAAATAAAAAAATAAAAATAATATGTTGAACAAAATTTTGCTTACTTCAATGCTCAAATGAAGTGCATGGAATTTGACATTCCGACTACTACTGACTATACATAAAATGGATTGTTTTTGTTGTTACTGGCGGTTGGCTGAAAATCATCTCACAAAAGATGCTGGCACAAGCTATTATTACTTCTACTACGTTGACATGAATACGGCATGCTTCACATCTAAAAACACATTATTCTCGATTGTTCCATGCAAATGCACCAAAATAACATCAACAAAAAATACCATCAAATTTACAATGTATTTGCAATTATTTCGTAATTTTTTATTCAGAAAATTTATTATATTAAAAATCGTTTACGTTTGCATCAAGACATACAGAATAACCAAGCGTTTTATCCGCTTTGCATAGTTTCAACCGTAAACCATTACGCATCTAGTACTACATAACCGATTCGAAATGAAACCGGACGACATCAACGCTGACTGTCAAACTTATATTTCTTCTACTCGTGGTTCCCAGAGAAAATGGTATGTAGTTGAACACGCTCCGCAATTTTTTTTCAAAATATTTATTTTTTTCTCGATTTTTTCGTCAAAAATTGTGATTATATCAAAAAATAACGTTCTTTTTGTTTTTCATTACAGGCAGCCCACAAATCTTTTCGCATTAAGCGTGTTTTAGCTAAAAAGCTCAAGCAAAATTGCTCGATTCCACAATGGATTCGTATGCGAACTGGAAACAAGATCAGGTAAGGGTTCAAGTGAATATTTGATTCGTTTTTCTCCATCAATTCAAACGTTTTGCATCAAATCGAAACAGTGGAAAATGTGTTTAAGTGATTTTTCTAAAATTGCATACCAAATTCGTCAAAATCTGAGTGTTATTAGGCGAGCACACATGGCGTGGTCATAAGTGACACAGTTCTCAATTTTGATGAAATTGGTGTTCATTTACCTGAAATTGATTGTGAACGTGATGAATAGATTCCGAAAATGAGATCAACGTGTTGAATTTTTCACGAAAATAATTTTTATGATGCGTACAAAACACATTTTCCAATTAGTTGATCGATCAACATAACCTCAATCCAGAGGGATTACATGTTGAATGTGACATAACCTAACATATTTGTCTCTAACAATAATTCGATTTGTTTTCTTATCATTTCAGATACAACGCTAAGAGACGTCACTGGCGTCGTACAAAGTTGAAGTTGTAAATGCACATCCAAACACCATGCAGCCAACAATCGTTGGATTTATCGAAGCCTCGATATATGTTTATGCTGTCTCTGATTTTATTTACTTTGTATAAGACCGAATATCGGTACTACACAATGCTTTGAATAAAACAAACAACATTTTGGAATGAAACAACTTCATTTAACAATAAAAAAAACAATCTTGTCTTTTTATTTGTTTTTACATTCTTGGCTCTTGTTACTGATTTAGGATCATACTTCGACTGAATGTCAACGATTTGAAAGAAGTGCGACAAAATTTAAAATATTTCTTACATTGACAGTTTATACATACTGATAATGGAAAACTTACTGAAAACTGCCGTAAGGTGTGATCAATTTTCATCGACAGTGTGGTCGAATTGAAATCATCACATCAATCATCCAATTGAATCTATTTTAAATATGCCTTTGATTTCAGTTGTGAAATATCTAGTACGATGAATTGCTTCTGAAAATAATGCTGGAAAATGGAAAAGTATACATTGACATTCTCAATTGTTTTTCTCTTTTTTTTGAATTGTCAATAGAAAAAATTTCAATAAAAATGTTTTCATCAAACTCCATTGGAATTTATTAAATGTCAATCTGTCTACCGGACGATTTCAATTTGAATGTTCACGTGTATAAGTCAAACGAGAGAAACGTCATGTCATTTATCGCGCGCAATATTTCTCATTAGCGAACATCATACTAAATAGAAGAACAGAGCTGCAAAGCACATAAAATTTTATATTTCATATTGAATCGTTTTACGTTTGATTTTATTGGTATTTTATTTAAAATAAATTTGCACAAGTAAAAGTTTATACAGTGTGTTCAAAATAAAAGTTACGAAAATATAAAAAAATAAATACTGCCGAAAAACGTGCACCGGTTAAATTCATTTAAAGTAGTAACAACAATAAAATTGGCTTTTCATCGATATAAAAATGGCACTGGCATTCCAAAGCGGGGAGTCTGTTAAACAGGCATTATTCGAAGAATTACAAAATATTTTGAGCGCCGACAAAGATACTCGTATGAGTGCCGAAGGCAAAATTCGACATCTTGAATTCACAGAAGGTATGCTTCCACCACAATCGTATAGTGATTGATTTCACGAAGAGTGTACCGTTTGGACAAAGTATTTTAATTTGTTTGATTATTGAATAGGCTATGGCGTTTATTTGGCTGAGTTAACGATGAATCAAAGTTTCGATTTGGCACTTCGACAGTTGGCAAGTGTGATGTTGAAAAAATATGCCGAAGATTATTGGGCCAATGATGAATTGGATGGCACACAAAAAGCGGTCGTTGCAACAAATCAAGCAAAAGATATGATTCGAAAAATATTGCCCAACGGTCTATACGATCCAAATAGTAAAATTCGTGCATCGGTCGCATACACAATTTCCGCAATTGCGGCTGTTGATTGGCCACACACTTGGACGGATCTTTTTGATATTATTGTTAAATGTCTGGGTGGCAATGAGGACAGCATACATGGTGCAATGCAAGTATTGGTTGAATTTTCATATGATTCGGTTGATTGTCGAGTCGCTGCCATTGGTCCAGTAATTCTGAACGAAATCTATCGCATCTTTGAATCCGAACAGGTTTGTTGTTTCCCATCGATTATTTTTATGGAAAAAATAAAGTCAATATACTTTTTTGTTTACATCTGATAGATGTACAGTGTAAATACGCGAACCTGTGCTGTCACAATTTTCAAATCACTGCTCAAAGCCATTAATCAGAATATACTAAACAAGGATCAAAAAGCGAAGCTTCTGAATCCAGTGTTACCTGTTTTTATAAATAAATTGATCGGTGCGCTTGGTAGTTCTGGCCAACACACCAGCTATGCTCTCAAAACTGAGATCATCAAAGGTATGATATTTTATTCCGTTTTTCAATACAAAATTCAGAATCAAACTGAATCCGATCGATTTTGATTTTCCAGTGTTGACGTACATGGTGAACGAAATGTCAAAATTCATCTATCAATACAACGATCAGATATTGCCGCCCGTTTGGTCGTTGCTTACGCAAACGGCCGAAATCTATGTGAAAGCCGTTGTAAATGAAACTGATTCGGCCGAAAATGGTCAGGATGATGACGAATTGAACAATTTTATCACATTAGTTTTGCAACTGTTTGAATTCATCCATTCGATTGTCGAACAACACCGTTTCCAGTCAATTGTGAAATCAGTTCTTACCGATCTGGTTTACATATCCATTGTATACATGCAAATAACCGAAGAGCAAGCAACCGCATGGGCCGATGATGCCGAACTCTATGTGGACGATATGTGCGCCGAAGTAGTCGAATGTTCGATTCGTGTAAGCAGTAAAGATGTTTTAGTGAATATTGGTGATGAATTTGGGGCTGAAGTACTATTGCCGTCGATTAACGATGCATTGACTCGTCACGTTCAAGTTGCGGAAGCTGAAAAAAATGCCAACAATCCACATTCGTGGAAAATCATTGAGGCGAGCGTAACGGCGGTTGGTTTCCTAAAAAAGTATATTGTAGATGGAACTAAAGAGAATCAAAAACGTTTCAATTTGCGTGAATATTTGGCGTATACAAAAACAATGCTCGGACAAGGTGGGATTGTAGGAACTGGTTATGAAGGTGATGTTTCTCCATTGTTACACGGTCGTTGTTTGTGGGTTCTTAGCAAGTATGCAGATGCAGCACCCGACATTTACGATCGACAACAGTTACAATCAATTTTGGATTGCATGACCAATAATTTCAACGGTGCCAAACCGATGGTAGTTCAAATCAGCGCGATGAGAGCACTGTTTGAACTTTGCACTGGCTTGAAAAAGGCTTCGGAAGAACAACGCAGCATGGTCATTCCGCATTTACCATGTTTCCTCAATTTTATCACTGACATCGCAATCCGTGCCAAAGGAAGCATTCTTATTGATGTTTTGTCCACCATTTCGGCGGTTGCAGCCGTAAGCCAAAAACACTATTTTATATTCAATATTCATCACATACTAAATGTGTATACATTTTTTTTCACACAGTTTGACAAAAACTTCACGGCCAACAATCACACGAAAATGATTTCATTCACAATCGCAACATTTTTGAAGAGTTTCGATGATCCATTTGTTTTGCAAGAAGTTCAGGAAATTATTCACGTTTTGGCTGAAAACGAGTGTTGTATTATCGCTCTGCAAGAGCGATTGGTACCAACATTGGTAAAAGTGTCTCTTTCATTTTTACGTTTCCTTTTCACATTTGTACTCAATATAAGTTTGTTTCATTATGGTAAATTAGGTGAGCATTTTGAGTTTGGAAAGTAACTCTAATGTGGAGAAGAAAAGTTGTATGCAAGATACGGCAATGGACATTTTAGGCACTGTGGTGCAAAATTCACCGGTTCCATTGAGCCCGATTTTAGTGAATACAGCATTTCCAGCGACGGTTAAGTGCATATTGGCGACTGACGATAATGCGATCATGCAAAGTGGTGGCGAGTGTTTGCGTGCATTTATTAGTGGTAATTTTCCATATTCTGATCTAATTGTTTTTCATTAAGATTTGGTTTAAAATGTCACTTTCATTTGAATATATAGTTTCATCGGAACAAATCTGCTCGTATAACAATGGCGAAGGTCTGAACTACATCATGCAAGTGGCCACTATGCTTTTAAATCCAATGTCCAATGAATTTACGGCCACGTTCGTGGGTCGACTAATCATTACAATAGTTACAAAAGCTGGCAACTTCCTCGGTGATAATATTCAATTGCTATTGAAGGCTGTGATTAGTAAATTACAGCTGGTCGAAGCTTTGAATGTTGTTATGAGTTTGGTCATGACATTTGCTCATTTGATTATAACCCAAATGGAAGCTGTTCTCAATTTCTTGAGCAGTGTGCCAGGACCAAGTGGAACCGAGCCAGCCATTCAATTTGTTTTGTCCAATTGGTAAGATCATTTCATTTCATTTTGCTTCATTGTGCTTATATCTAGCTGTTTTGTTCTTATTTCAGGTTGCCACGTCAACCGATGTTTTACGGCACATACGAACGCAAAGTCAGCACGATGGCGCTTTGCAAGCTCTTCGAACACGGCGTTACCACGAATGATGTTCGTTTAGTGTCGGTTACAATTCGTGACGTCGTTGAACTGAGTGTACCGCTTGATGGACGTCCTCGCACACGCCGTCAGTCAAGTAACAATCAACAAAAATGGATTGACGTTCCGGGTGAGTTATTCAAATCAAATCAAAATACAAAATTCAATCAACTTATTCAAAATATATATAATTTTTTGTTACAGTTTTGGTGAAAATTTTTAAATTATTAATTAGTGAGTTGAACCATTTGAACGAAAGTATTTTGTATGATAACGAAACTGATGGTAGTGATGATGAAACTGGTTTGACAGATGATACCCCTACAGTTCAACAGCAAAATGGCAACACATCACAGAAGTTATTCCACGTATCAGACCTTTGGTGTGACGATGACGAGGATGAAGATGATGAATTGTTGAAAGAGCTTGAAAAGGATCCAATCTTCCAAACCAGCTTGAATGAAACTCTCACGAAATTTCTACAAAACTTTGCAACAACCGAAAGGTTCGCCGAATACGCACAACATCTGAACGAAGAGGAGAAGAGAATCTTACGAGGAATTCAAGTCAATGTTTAAATATCACTTACCATTCAATTTGATAAATGATTTAATGGAATTTTCAAAAAATTCTTTTTACAAAAATAAAATATTGAGCTCAGAATGAATTTTCATGATTTATTTACCTATTTGTATTCAAACATTTATTTTCAAAACACATAACACTGTGTAAAAATTGTGAGGAAGACAGATTTTTTTTGTGGAGATGGGTTGAATTTTCTCTAAATCTGGGTTAAATCCAGTCATTGGGAACCGAGATTTTCAACTGAAAATCCGAACGGTGTCTGGGTATAATTTATTTTTTTTTTCACCAAAACAAAAACATTTAGCCTTAGAAACTCTTGAAAAATGGATTTGTAAGTATCAACAAAAAAATTAACACTTTTAACTGGAAAAATTCAAATTAATTTGAAAAAAAAAAAACGTAAAAATGACACCGGTTGATTTTTTGTCAAGGTTTTGCCCCGCAAACCCAAACAATTGGTCATATTTGGTGTAAAGGAAACCTTAATTAAGGAAATATTAAAACTAAACTAATCAATAACAATAAATACAAAGACATCATTTTTATTGGAAAACGGACCTCAATGAAGAAACATTTTTTTAATCTCTTATTGGTTCAAGACCGAGCGATTTCAGAACAGAATTTTTATTTATTTCTTTTATTTGGAATTTTGCTGAATTTCTATACTGCCGGGATGAAACATAATTTTTGTGTTTCGAAAAATTGCGTTCAATACCAAAACCAAAGCTGTTTTAATTCTTAAATTCTTCCCATGATTTTATTTGTCTCATCCTTTTGTATGTCAAATCGATAATTTGTAAAATAAAATTTTTGCATTGAAAATTATGTGTATTTATTTTTGCAGCTGTATTTCAGCAAAACATTTCATTCGAAACGACCCGTTCACACGAAAGTGTTTCTGTATCATATTGCGGCCTATTGAGAAAAACGCAACGTTATGCGCAACGAATCTCAATCTCCTTTGCATACTTGGCGCACAAAAATCTTAAAGAGTATTTGCCATCAAATCGTTCATTTAGTTTTCGATCCTTCATTAAGTCAGACGTAGAAAGAGCCTCTCTTACTTTTGCATTTCAATTTGCACAACCAATCGTGTTCATAAAACTTAGAGTTGAAATTAATTCAAATTTCTCAAATCCATCAGATTTTTCGTTAAATTTTCGAAATAATTCTTTCAATTTATTATCAATTTTTTTTTTTCAAATTTCAACTTGGTTACTTTTCAATCTTGATTCGAAGTGAGTTTGTAGATCTTTAATTTTTAATAAAAAGTGATTTTAAAATAAAAACATTGAAACAAATATCATCTACAGCACAAAATGGGATATCTAACGGTTAATGGTTGCTGCTGTTTTGACTTGAAAACTGGTGGCTTGATAATTGGATACATTGAATTAATTATCGCGATTGCGTTGTTGTTCATTGATGCGATAGATGTTTGGGTGAAAAGTAATTTTTAAACTAAGAAAAATATAAAATCCGAAATTTACTGAATTTTTTTTATATAGTTCTGTATTGCATGCTTGTTGGTTTTTGGCTCTATGGAATTCACTGGGTAAATAAGTTATTTAAAAATTCTTCTTTTACCTTATTTTAGTACAGTTACTAATTTAATTTGTCAATGCGAAATAAAAGTGCATTTTATAATCAATTTGTATATTAAATTTGTTATTAAAGTGATTTAATTCAATTTTGATAGGAAAAAAAGGACTCTTTGTTGCCAAGTATCATCGCGTGGTTTATTCTCCATATCCTCTTTACGATTCTGTTGGTTACGATCTCGATCTGTGGATTGATTGGCAAAGAAATATTCCATTCAGTTGAATCGCATACAAAAGTGTCAATGGGCAATGAATTCGCAAAGGCGAGCTTTGATCCAACAGGTGGCATGTTGGATTCAGTCTCAGCACTGGCTGGTGGCATATTTTTGGTTGTTTGCGTGATATTTACTATCATTTATTGTAAGTACAACAATACAATACAACTCTCGCTTTTATGTTTTAAAAAATGTTGACACATTATTATAATACTTTCAGTGGTTGTGTGGGACATCACTAGAGTCAAGTGTTCTCTATACTTGGAAATGACGAAGGAAAAGAAAGAAAGAGCTGCTGCTATTCGACAATCGGTCGCAATCCCAGAACATTTCAATTCGATAAAAATAGAGAGCGTTTAGCCACTTAAAATTACCGTTATTTGATCATTTAGAAAATACACAGTACATAGGCATATTCAAATAAAAAGAAGTATTTTCTAAAATATGCGCATCAAGTAATCTTTCGATGTATTCAGTCACAATTTGAAATAAAATCAGATACAGATACTATAAATACAGATTATCGCTTTGATCATATTTCGCATAATAATCAATAAAATGCACACATTAATGAACCATAAACTATCACTTGTAATATAAAGCATACAAGTAAGTATATCGAATCAGTTCTGTTCTTACTAGCACTTATAATGGATACGAAGAAAACTTTCAAATCAAATAATTCCTTCAGTCATAAAGACTTTACTCTGTTATTTACATTAATGAAAATATCGTCGTAAATTATTGCCAATATAAATTTCTCAGAAAGCAGATTGTTATTGTTCAACCTTATGCGTTCACTTTTACAGATTTCACGAAGAAATTGTTCACATAATGAACTCCATTGTTTGGATTAATCCCGTTTTGTGTTTGACACTTCATTTCTTTTGATTTCAAAAACTGCATAAGTACAATTGTCTTCGTACTGCTTATATCAAGAGAAGTAAACAAAATACACATTCAATATACACAAATCAAAAATGATTCATGGTACTTAGTCTTCGAATTTCATTTTAATCTTTTGCCAAAGCCTATGTTTTGAATTGACCAAAGTCATACATAAACATAATAACGAAATGCGTATCAAAAAGCAAAAACGCATCACTTTTCCCTTTGCTGATTGTGAACATTCATTTTTTTAGACAAAAATATTTGTATAACTTGGATTATTTCAAGACGGGTGGTTTTCTAGAAATTTTAGAGCACGCAATAAAATGTTTGCCAAAGATACTAGTTTGACAGATATCATTGAAAATATATACTTCTATCATTTAGATAAGAACAGAGAGTAGATAAAATTATCGCTATAGTAATACTATATTAACAGTGCCTATCAATAGTTACTA